CTTTAACAAACAAAATATCTTCCACATGCTCCGTGAGCGGCGAACCAGAAATTGACGCGTCACTTTTTATTCCTGGGCAACCCCTGAACAAAAGTTCACGCATTAGCGGTCAACAGCCAGTTCCCTTGTGGCTTTCATCGCTATAAAATAACCGCAGGGCGGAAAGTTGCAAACTTTTGAGATGTGCACCAAGCAAAAGCCTAACTAAGCGCAGATTTCTGCCAAAAATGAGCACCAAAATTAGAGAAATTTTTGCCTGTGCATTTTTTTTTTTTAATTTTTGTCTTACAATTGAGCCTACAATTTTTCAAAATAATCCACAATCCTCTAGACCGATAAATCCAATTAATATCAGAGTGCTCCTTATTTATGAAGAACAATTGAACGAGAATATGAATGAAATTTCATTGCATCTTGCTTTCTAGTTCCACTTAAATCACAATTGTCAATAAGAATAAGGCATTGACAATGTCATTTGTCTTCCTTCGCTCTGTGCGTGAACGTTTTCTCTGTGAAACAAAAGAGACGCGCTTGGAGAAACACAATATTCTGCTTTCAATGTGCACTTCATCAAATCAAAAGACCAATTCCATAAGAGATATATAATTTATTACTCCTGCCGCTCTTGCGTGCAAGACTTTGATCAGAGAAGTGTAATTGTAATTGAATTCCATTTATTCAACCTGACAAAACAAGGCCAATCCACTTTTCCTCCAGCAGAAGTGAAAATTATTGCAGAAATTTTTTACTCCAGCAGAAGCGAATTCTGCTTGCATCAAAAGACGTACGTTCCTTTGTAGATTTTCAGCAGAAACAACTATTGAATATTGGCGAATATATAATTGAATGTGTTAATTGTGTATATAATTCTTGTATTTGTCGAAAGCAAAAGTTGGTGTTGCAAAAAATTCAAATAATGTCAATGAGCCTTGGATTTTAAGACTGTTTTGGTCTAAATTTTGAAGTCTTATCTAGATGTTTTGAGAAAAAAAGCATTAAAAGGTCACCAAAGAATTAATTAATTATTTTCCAGGCTGCTTCTAAAAAAAAGGAAGTCTGCAAGTCAGCCTGTTCTCTCATTCAAATAATATGAATGTACCTTTTTGTATAATTAAATTGTTTTTATCAGTATGGCAGTAATTCTAATTTATATCTAGAAATAAAAAATATATAATAAAAAAGATCTTTTGTTCCTTTTTGCAGAGGAATTGAGCTTTTTTTTGTTCAGTTAACTCCAATTAGCAAGAGGGAAAAATTAGTGCAAATTTTAACGGTGCTCAAACAGATTGGCCGTTTTTCCTTTTACTTGTCAAGCGTACAAAAACAGTAGACATATCATCAAAGATACATCAAGCAAGAGGAGATGAAAGGTTCTGTTCTGAATTAAGTCCTTTGATTGCTTCAATTAATTTAATCCCACAAAATTTGATCAAATAAATTTTTAGCTTTCCGATTAGTCTACACGCAGTGATTCAATTCAAAATTAAAGTTTTCTATTTTAAAATAAATATCCTTATATAAGCATGATATTTTAAAATTTTTTTATTTACTTACATCTTTTTTTAAGGTATGTTTAATTTCTTGTTCATGGTTGAAATTGATTTACTTAAAATTTAGACTTTATGGTTTTGGTCGATTTAGAAAAATATTTGTGTTCAGATTGGCTGGCTGGTGCTATCGTCATAATTACCAAAATGAAATATTTTTGTAAAAGTGATCATAATTTGACCGATGTTTGAAATTTCCTGGTAGTCATTAAAACAGAAAATTAGCATATTTTTCAAAATAATTTGTGGTGAAAACTCAATTATTATTTTAATTAGAAGGAAAAATTTGTCCGTATGAGTTGGTTCTCGGAGCATGAAGCCCATTTCAATTAAAATTTAAATAATTTTAAATAAAGTAAATAAACACATTTCCTTTCCGTGTTCAGTTGAAAGGGAATTTCTAATTAAATTACATAGCATTTGGTTTAAATTTCTCTTCCTGACTTTGCAGAAACGAGTCTCTGCACGCCTAATTTTGCTTCTTTTTTTGCACAAATCAGCAAATTCGTTTTTTTTTGCACTTAGGGTTTATTTATTAATTCAAGTCTCGCTCTCAAGTCGATACTATCAAGTGCCGAACGCTAGAGCGAAAGAGACTTTTCTTTCAGACGCTGTTTGTTTGCCTTAATTGGCGCCTTGCAAGTATAAAAAAGGTCTTTTCCGACACTCGACACCGTCCTAATGGAATGTTTGTCCGCCCGAACCAGCCAGTTTTGTTTAATTAGCAGCCCTGCGGCACATTAGAGGGGCGACCGCATCCACCACAGACAGTTATTAGGGTCGCTGATAGTAAAAGCGACTTTCCACGGAAAAGTGTCACACTTTCCATCGACTCGGTTTTTCTATCTTAATAAAGTTAATAATATTAAATGCTGCGAAACAATAAAAAAAATATTGAGTTAAGTTTTTATTTAATTGTAATAATCAAAGCTCAATTTTTTTCTATCTAAATAATCAGCTTTCATCAAATAAGCTGTAAACTTAACGGTTTCCTTGTTGGCCATCCAATTATTTTGCAAGGTTTAAGCTATAAACTCTAAACTGCATTTTGTATTTATATACAAAGCCGATTAGATTAATGCCCAAATCTACCAGCTAAATTGATTTGAATAATTAATTAACCAGGAAAATCGTTGAAATAAGAACTTTTAAATTATTTCAAAGCAGAGATATTAATTAGTCAATTCGTGCCTATTAATAATACATTATCATGCGGGCTGCAGTTCTGAGGAGGTTTTGGTAAATTGTTGAAGTTTTTTTTTTGTCAATTCACACATTTTGACCTGTCTTTTGTAAGGGTTAAGTAGCCCTTCTGAGGCAAGTTCCATTGTCAAATACCAAGAATACTCAACTGTTCGACTTCAAAGGAGAGTGACATGGAGTATTTTCCAGTCTGCTGGTGACGTGTGAGCACCAAGATTAATTAGCAAACTGCCTCTTGATGGTCTTGTCAGACATACTTGCAAATCAAAGCCACTTTGATAGATTTCGCACTGTGATAGTTTTCTCTAAAATTTGCTATAGTTGTGCAGGAAACTTCAGAAGACAAAACGAAAAAAACTTTCCGGTCTGCACAGGTCTGCGCCGTCTTCACAAGGGAAAAAAAGTGCAAGCTTAAAAAATTTCTTTTTAAAACTTTTGTTAGTAAATTTTTGATTAATTTTTGTATTTTTCGGCTCATAAAATAGGACACTTTGAGGAAACTTTGTTTTCAAACGAAAACAATTTCGACAACTAGTCTATGTTTCAAACATTGTTTTTTTTTTATTTTTACTTATTCGGAAACAATCTAATGTCGTTTTGTTTGTCTTATTGAATTTTTTTGGATGATGTATTTTGCAGAAGAATTCCCGATGGCACATTAATAAACATGATTCGAAACTAATCTCTTTCACATTTTGCAAAAATTTCATCTTCGCTCGACGTGCAGTGCGCTCATTGCTTGTTCCATCCGATTACAGTTGCCGCAAAATAAAAACGAGCTCTCTCGCGCGCGCACTCATGAATCATTCATAGAGCAGAGAAGTTGATACTGAACGCGCTCCACTACTTTTCTTCCTCGCAAACAGCCCGAGACGGCGGCAGCAAAAATGTGTTAATTGCCAGCAGCGGCGCCCAAAGGGTTTCCCGTCGAAAATGAAATTTCTTGCTTACCACGGAGCTCAAAAAACAGGAGATATGCGAAATCCTGCCAAACAAGAAAAGAGACAGCGATGGAAGATCTTTTCATGCTTGACGAGCGTTTAGTTTCAAAAATCAATATGGTACTCATTTTCGACAAAAAAACATTTCTCTTGCAACACTACAAAATTAACACCAAAGTATATACAAACTTGATAAAAATTAAAATTTTTTGCAGTTTACATAAAATTTGAGGTTTAAATTAGTTTCATCTTTAGAAGGAAAAATATAGAAAGTAGGTTCCAACTTTCATGGGTTTTAACTGAGCAAAGTTTGTTCAGGCGTTCCTTTTCCTGCAGTTGGAAGCCAATAAATGCAAAATCTTGTCCATCGATAATTTATTTCTGAGGCGTATAATTAACAAATTAAATAAATACCTAAAGAAATTGAATATTAAAATTTGACTAGAATCTACCAATTAAAATAAAGCTGAGCGTGCAATTTTTTCAGAGAAAGTTCAATCAATTTAGGGGAGAAATATGCCTTTTACATACATACAAACATATTTATTTAATCCTGTATGCTAATTCTGGTAATCAATCATAATCATGCCGCTTTCCCTCTCATTGTTTTGCCATTTTTGAATAAAACGCAAATTCACTCTAAACAAAAAATTAAAAACACTTCCAAATAAGAGTCAAGTGAACATGCTGAATTGGATATTCTGCCTTTTTGTTTTTGGCACATGCGGAGGGAGAAAATTGCTTTCTGCGTATAGATGGAACACAATTTCCAGCCACATACATAAAGAGATTAAATCATTTGAAGCTTTTGGTATAGTCGTGAATTTTCAACAAATGCGCCAATTTCTCTCCAATTTAGCATTCTGTTTTCTTCAAGGCATTTACAATTCAATTGTTAATTTACAGTTTCATTAGAATCTACATTACATAGGCTTCAGTGATTATTCTAAACTTTACTTCCCCAACGTCACTGCCGTTGAGTCGGTTGAGCGTCAGACATGAACTTTTGATCTTTATAAACTAACTTGGAATCCCAGGAATGAAGACCAAGAAATTAAGATGAAGAAAAATGGCGAATCCAATAAAATTCTTAATGCTATTTAGATCTTTGTAATTTAATTAACTAAAATAAATGACAAATGAAACTTGTTCATAAATTTTAGTTTGTTTTAAAATTTTCAATTTTGCCTAAATTTGAATTAAAATGCGTTAATTATTAAGATTTATTATAAAAGTTATATTTTCGTTAATTTAGGGCTGAGAAAAATTCTCGCAAACAACTTAATTTTCTATATTTTAGTTCACTTACCTGTTATCTTTTCGTCCAAGTGATTAATCCTCTGATGTTGAGAGCACTCGTCGCTGGAGCACAATGTCAAGATGCGTTAGCGGCGAACGGCGAGACGCGAGTGTTGCGCTGCAATCCGCCCACCCGCACTACCCCAGCAAGGGAGGCTGCCGGGGGTGGAGGGGGGCGTCGTGTGCGCACTGGCCGTGGATTTCTATTCTATTCTGACCATCGGTCTTCATTAGTAGGCCGAAGCCGTTTCCGACACATTCGGAGCGAAAATTATATATTGTATGTCTGCCCAAAATGAACGAAATCGAAAGTATATTTTTGTCCCGGAATTAATGACTCGAAAGACCTTGCAAAGAAAAGTTCAAAGCAATCGGCAGCCAAGTGGCTGCGATGTTAACTCAAAGGTTGCTTTGTCAGGCAATCCGCTCTACACACGCGTCGACCGAGTTGCATAACTCGGGATTAGTTTGTTAAAATTACTTGTCAGCACTAATTGTAGAAGTAATTAACTGCAAATGTCGTCAGCAGTGTTGACAAACGAGTGGTCTTGAGGTTTGACGCACATAAGTACTTTTTTTTCGGGAAAGTTAGATTGGTTTGTTTAACTTCAGTCTTTTTACTTCTCAACGCGTTTAATGCAGAAGTGCAAGAAATCCGCGAGAAGATGCATGAAACTTCCAGAGATTTATAATCTGATATGATTTGGCCGTCGTATTTATATTAAATTATTTTTCATTTGGTATAAATAATTCTTTTTAATTTTTCATTATAATATGACAGATCTCACAAAATGGCTTGGCATGTATTTTGTAAATGCAATTTAAATGATGTGATACAAGAAAACACCAAAAATATATATTATTTATTTTTAATTTCTGAAAAAATTTAATTTATACCTCTTTTGTCACTATTCATCACAAATAAAGTAAAAATTTCATTAAACATTTAAAAAAAAGCATAAAAATGGTAAAATGCATTGAATAAAAATGTATTATTTATTTTATAATATTTTATGTCTTGTAATAATTTTATTTTTGGCTATAACATAAAATAGCTCTAAAATATTTTGAGACATTTCTTGTCAGCAGCTTAGCACAGATTTGACTGTGATTTGAGCCAATATTGAAATATTGATTTTTTTTAAATTTAATTTTCATTAATTGTTTTAGTTTTATTTTCTAACTTTGATTTACTTGCACCACGGTTTTAATTTTTCATACATTAACACAGAATTAAAATGTGTGTTGGAGTTTGTCATTATTGTTTTGAATCAAAGTGAATGAATTTAAAACAACACCTGGTGTACAGTTGTCAAAAAGGTAATCATGGCTCGTTCTGATTTTAATAAACCATTAATTTATTGATAAATTTTCACTTATAAATGTTCCAGTTGAGAGAAATTTTATAATAATTTTAAAAGTATGAATTACTCGATTTATATAACACAATTAAGACAATCATCATTTCCCTCCTTTGAGGACTTGTTGAAGAGACAAATCCATTTTGATGGAAATTTAATTGCCACTTGCTAATTTTCTTTCTCACGGGGCCAGGTGGGGTCGTTTCAGGAATTGCTCGATGTTCTGGATCTGGAAATTGTCTCGAAGCCGGCTGCCTCATAAATCACACATTTCCGGGAAGTGGACTTTATAAATACCTCACACATCACAAATTCGCGCCTCAAAAGTGGTGCGCTTTTCGATTTTGACACTGACCAGCAGGCCCGCTTTCCAAATACACCAAGAAATGGAGAGCGCTCGAGAACGATTGATGTCCCGCGGCTAATTATAAATACACCTCTAAAGATTCAACCGCTCTTTTCACGCCCCTGTGTTTTCTCAAAGCCGATAATATAATATTTGGCATTCAAAAAAATTAAATTAGGATTAAAAGCGTAGTTCCATAGAAATTGTGTGGGAAGAAATAATGCAATTAATAACTTTCACAAACAACTCAATTATTTTTAAACAATATTTTAGTTGGTATTAAAATGGAAATATTAAGTGTCACTATAAAAGATTCATTGCATCTTGAAGGGCTTTTCCAGCAATGATTTCTTTTCAATTCAAATAAAGTGGAAATTCTATAATTTATGTCTGACCCAACACTTTGCAATATTGGTTGAAATTGGGGCTCATCAAAGGTTCAGCATATTTATTTGCTCAAAATAATTTGAAATCAGCATCCTCAACGTTCTTCATAGTTTGTGGGAAAAGGTCTTTTGATCCTTTAAGAGTGCGATTTGTCGATTGCGATTTCACAATTTCAATACAATTAAGTCCCTTTTTTTAAATATTTAAACAAAAAATACTTTTTAATTATATTTTTATTTATTTTTTGTAAACTTTTGTGGTTTTTCTATATCTTTTGTTTTGTATTAAACCACCAAATCTTTATGTGCAAACAGTTCTATAAATTGAAATTTTATCCCTTAAATTAAAAGACATTGATTCTGACCTTTCTAGGTGAAACCGAATGCCAGCCTATTCTAGAGCAGATGCCGTAATCCGCACTAAAATTAATTCTAGTTCTGCGGTATAAACAATGACCTCCGCTCATTGATGCCTGGGTGCTGCGGCATTCATGCAAATTAATCGATTTTGGCTTAAGTTTACCGAGCAATAAACCGAACGTTATCATTGGAGGATCAGAATGAGAATCCGAAACGTGCAGTATGGGTGAAGTGACGAGTGTCAAGTGCTCGTAAAGGACCAACGCGAACAATAAAACGACGGTGCTCAATTACTCGAGATTTAATTACCGAGACGCCGTGAAGGAATTCTTCCTTGACATTCTTGTTCCTCGCTTTTCCTTCTACAGTTTCAACAAATAAGCGGCATGAGTCTTGTTTGGAATGTTCTCAACAATGCTTTATTTTACAAGATTTATTAGTTCATCATATATGCGTGATATTGTTATTTTCATCTCAAAACAAAAGTTTTTCGCTTTGAGGAAATATTGATAGGTTTTATTGTGCAAATATATCCATTACATTGCAATCTAACTTTTAGAATTTCCATACGAACCGAAGAAAGTTTTTCCCTTTCCGATCGGCTGCAGTCGACATAGGTAAACTTTTCACTCCAATCTGCATGAGTTATGATTTTTTTATAATTGTACTTGGGTTCTGAAATTTTGAATGTGAATTTTATTCTCACAGACAGATGTTTCTGCCCAAAATTCAGCCACCGCAGTCGAAATCTGGCCTCGAGGTCTGGGCGTCACGAGCATGCGGTTCGTGAAAATCTGTATCTCTGCTGCGGATTATCACTTTCCTCTTATTGTTATTTCTCTCACAACAGCAACGCGCTCTCTCTGGCATAGGTTTTATCTGCGAATTAAAATCGTAAACAAAGTGGTGGAAAACGGAGCGGAGAGAGAACAGGGCGCCGGCTGCTGTTTGCCGCAAGGGGCAAAAACAATGCAGTCAAGAGAATTAAAAAAGAATTACTTGGAATTACTTTCAGAGTATTTTTTAAAGCTTAAATATGAGAAAACGTAAATTGTAAGGCTTTTCAAAAACCTCCTTTTTATTTAAAAATATAATTAATTAGAATTTTAAATTTTAAAACAGAACAAAAAAAATTGACAACTAAGAATTTGAAAATGAGGCTAAGTAAGAAATTCAATTTGCTAGAGAATGAGCAACAAATAAAATAATATTGATTTTAAATTTCAGAAAATGTGTGGCTGGAAATTCGCATGGATAAATTAAAAATCTTGGTCGGTTCTGCGTACAGAAAGCCAAATGCAACCGCAGCATATAATGATGAACTAATAAAATCACTTGAGCGGGTCGCGGAAATCAAACACGAATTTGACGGCGTCATTCTCACGGGCGATCTCAACCTTGACGTGAACTGGAAGCTGGACCCGCCAGTTGCTGGAACCGCACCTGCAGCCGAATTCTTAGATCTTTTTGACGACCTATCTATGACACAATTTGTTAAAGATGCAACCCGCACAACGGACTCAACTTCTAAAATTCTTGATCTGGCCCTCTGTGACGCAGCTGGGTTAATTTCAAAGGTCGAAGTCACACCTGGGGTCAGTGACCATGACGCAGTTGTTTTGGAGCTTGCTGTTCGTCGAGAAGTGCTGCGACGAGTCCGGAGAGAATATTTTGACTTCAAAAAAGTAGTTTGGAATGATTTGGGAGCTGAACTTACTCGGAAAATGGAAAATCTTGAACTGACTTTTAGCTCAGTATGTCAAGCTTGGGAGCAGTGGCAGCAAACTTTCTTTGTCACACTCGCTGAAAATGTGCCTAAAAAAATTGTCCGCCCGAGAAAACGGAAATGTGCACCGTGGCTTACGAAAGAGGTCAGCTCACTCATGAGCAAACGTGATAAACTATTTTCCGCCTGGCAGAAAACAAAATCGGCCTTCTCGCGCCTCGAGTTTGAAAAAGCGAGAAAATCTGTGCAGAAGGCAATTCGTCTGGCCCGGGACAAGTGGATGTGGGAGCTGGGCCGCGGACCAGGAGGGAACAAATTTTTCTGGAGCTTCGTCAAAGAGAAGAGCAAAGTTTCGCCCGCTGCTGCAGTGTTTGAAATTGATGGTGAAAAAGTGACAAAGCCCGAGTTAGTCGCCTCTGCTTTCAGCCGCGTATTTGTCAAGAACTTCAACACTGTGCAAAACTATTTCCCTTTCATGCGCCGATCACCAGCAAACGCAACAACCCCTGTGCTATGTGATATTTCTGTTAGCGCTGCGAGTGTGTGCTCCCTTCTGCGGCAAATAAAATCAAATGCAGCGACCGGCCCCGACAACGTGCCCGCGATTGTGCTAAATAAATGTGCCGCCTCACTCGCCCCCAGCCTCGCTCGAATCTTCAATCTTTCCCTTCGGCAGGGTGAACTTCCTCAAGGGTGGAAAACTGCCGCAGTCACCCCAATTTTCAAGAGTGGGAAAAAAAGCTGCCTAGATAATTATCGCCCCATAAGTGTCACTTCATTGGTCGGAAAAACATTAGAAAGGTGCGTGCGAGACAGGGTTGAAAATTTTATAAATGAGAGCAAAATTATTCCCGACTGCCAACATGGGTTCAGACAAAAAAGGTCGTGCACCACACTTTTGTGCAAGACCTTTGACAGTTGGGCCAGCAGGCTGGACGAAAGAAGCGGGACGCACGTCCACGCCATCTTCTTGGACTGGGCCAAAGCCTTCGACCGCGTCCCGCATGACCGCCTGCTGTCCAAACTCGCCCACTATGGCGTCGGCGGCAACCTCCTAAATTGGCTGAAAAGTTTTTTGACCGACCGCAGCCAGTTCGTCGTCTACGGAGGAGCAAAATCAGAGCCTGAAAGTGTCCTGTCCGGAGTCATCCAGGGCAGCGTCCTGGGGCCGCTGCTGTTTAACATCTACGTCGCCGACCTGCCCGCCAACATTGACTCTGAATTAGTACAGTACGCGGACGACGCCACCCTCTGGCGCGAAATTCAGAACCTCTCGGACGTCGCCATGCTGCAGGCCGACCTGGACAGTGTCCGGGCGTGGTGCGACAACAACGGCATGTCCCTGAACCCGACCAAGTGCCACGTGATGGACGTGACGCGCGCCCGGACACGTCGGCATGACGGCTACACAATCGGCGCCTCCACCCTCGAGTACGTCACCGACGAGCGCCTCCTCGGCGTCCAAGTGTCAAAAGACCTGCGGTGGAGCAAACACACGGACATCGCGCGCGGCAAAGCAGCAAAAGTGCTCTCGTTCGCGGCGCGAAATCTGCACGGCTGCACGCCGCGCGTGAAAAAATTGGCCTACCAGACGATGGTGAAACCGCTCCTGTTCTACGGCACCCCCGCGTGGCACCCTTCCTACGATACAAACATCAACAAATTCGAGCGAGTGCAAAAAAGAGCCCTCAGGTTTGTGTACGGGCGGCACATCCCTGATACGGCCGAACATGGGTTGCTGTCGGTGCAGCAGCAGCTCAAGTTCAATGACTTGATGTTTTTCAAGAAATGTACCAGTGGCGAGACTGATATGGACGCAAAGGCGAGAATCACCACCGGCCGAGTGATGAGAAATAGTGACGGAGAGCACCGGTTAATTCTCCCAAAAGTGCGCACAGAGCTCGGGCGACAAAGTTTTTCTTTTCGAATTGCAAATCAGTGGAATTCCCTGCCAACTGCGTTAAAAAATTGTACGGTTTCTCAATTTAAAATTGCATGTAAAGAATATTTGACTGTTGTTTAAAATTTCCCCTTTTCGGCTCCAGCTCGGCAAGTAGATTTAATTTGGAAACAATTTTGCTTTCAAATTGAGTTTATGAGTTTTAGTAAGTTGTTTACTAGGGCTGGCTGCCAATTCTCTCTTCAATGTAATTTTTCCCCCAAATAATATTGACTTGTTGTGAGAGAATAAACGAATTGAATTGAAAATGAAACTAAAAAAAATTTTAAGAAATCGTGGGCGTTTTCCTTGTAAAAATTCGTTTTGAATAGAAACCATTTTTTTATACAGAACTAAATTAATTTTTCCAGAGAATTAATATTATATTCTGCTTTTTAATTATTTATTTTTAAATCTTTTTATTTTAATGTAAATTTTAAATTTAAAATGTTATTTTTTAGCAAGACATTGCAAAGTTCCACATACATTTCATTTTCTCCCTAAATCTTCATTAATTCATTAAAAAAACCAATGTTTTTTTTTATAAATTTGGTCGGGTTATTGATCTATTTACATTTATTTTGGTTACTGTCTTTAGATAGATCATTTGCACTATGAATGTAAATTTTTCAAATGTAGCAATGATAAGTTTAGAATATAATTTATAATTTTATTGATTTTTATCACAATTCAAATATTTGACCTTTTATTATCTCAAAATTGTTTTATTGTTTTAAAGTATGATAAATTTTAACGTTTCATAGAGTTAAGAGTCAAGGAACTATATTAAGCAATTTAAATTTGTCACTCTGGTCACAAATTTGTATAAAAATGGGCAATTCCTTTATTGAATATAGAAGAGGCCTGCAAAAAGTGAAATTGGAGGATTTTGAATATTCTAAATCATAAAATCTTTGTCTCGGAATCAAAATATCCTATTGTCAAATTGAAGTTTATCAGAAAGTTGATTTCTATCTAACAAGCGCATACTTTTCAATAAAAATACTAAAACCATGAACCATGACGTATATAAATAATTTTTCCTTTTTTCCATTCTCAGAAAACGTATTTATTTTTATTTCACTGTAGGAAAAGAAAATAGTGCGCACTCAAGAAACGAAATTTTATTCGAAACTTTCCTTGTCTTCTTATCTTTTCGTGCGCATCATTTGCAGAGCTGCAGGGTTGCGCGCCGCGATTGTAATAAACACGTCAAATTAGCCCACGGAGGCCACACTGCTCGAGCTTTTTGAAGTGGGCCTAATTAACAAGAGGCGGCAGTGCGCGGCCACGCCCTGTCTTTGGCAGATCAAGGTCCTTCTCTGAATTAATTAGCACGTCTCGCAGTAGTAGAAGTGCGTCTTGCATAACGACATAATAATACACACCAGGCAAATGAGAGCACTACCGCAGCGGACATAATATATATGAAATAAAAAATTGAAAAATAAATAACACGCGCGACGTGTGTTACACAGCATGGTAATTTCTACAATCCGACCGGCAGAGGAAACGAGAAATTTCCTTTTTATGGAGAGACCAGAGAAATCGAATCGAGTCAAGAAACGCTTGAATGGATAAATCACTCATTAATTATTATGTATATTATATAATATTTTGTACTATTTTAATTGAGTTTAAGTCCGTTCACCTGATTTTTTTTTATAATTTTTTGTTTCTAAAGCTGACAAGATTTCATGACCGACATCCTAATTGCAAGAAGTACATTTTTAACCTTCAGAGATTAAAACCGTGAAATAGTCCCACCAAAAAATTTTTGAGCCTCAGAACTTACTGACCAAAATATTGCTGTTTAAACGGAATTTATAGATTTAGCAATCAAAAGAAAAATTCCTCAATTTTCCTTGAGGGCTGAGGCTCAAATAAATTTCGTGGGGAAAAGTTAAACCTCTTTCATTAATGACTGGATCGATTATGGAAGCCAATTTTTTGTTGCAATTTCCACACGTTGGTAATAAAAATTTGTCCACTTTTGGAGTAAATAATACTAAAATCTATGGGTATATTTAATTATCAAATATCTGTGGGAAAAAGTTAAATGGCTTTTTCTGAAGGACCTCCTTTGTACGATAAAAGAGAAGAGCCGCTTTGATCGTCAAACGCGGTAAAGGGGAGGAATTTTATATTAAAATTCCAGTCCCGTTGGCTGTTTTTCGCCACATAAACTTTCGAGAGCACACACATTAAGGTTGATTTTATGGCGAAAAACAACGAGCCCGCAAGATTGACCTTTGCCTAGAAACAAGATCAAGTATAGAGCAGCCCTTAGCTTTCTCTTAAGAAATATCGATTGCAAAAGGAATACAATTTTCATTCTTCGATTAAATTATTTATTTATACACACGTTGGATAAGATTAACAAAGAACGGAATCCAGAAATAAGTTGTTGAATAAAATATTCAAATGCTATTTTACACAATGCCGTTGACCTTTTCGCGGTTGTACTTCTTGTTACTTAACATGTGGAAGATTTGAGCGACGTGCTGTACAAGAGAGGAAAAGAGAAACTGGATATATATTTATATACACACAACGACGACTCACGTTTTATCTTGAACAAAAATGTGAAATCCCACAAGGCATTAATAATTTATATATTCCAGAGGCGCGGCGTCAAACATACAGTTCGCAGAAGAATCTCACTTTAGCAAAATGATGAGGCGAGACTTTTAAGAACTCTAGTAATGATTTTCAATTTATTTAATGTGTGAAAGTAGATGAAATTTCTTCAATTCAAAGAAAAAAATGTTAGATTAACAAAAATTGTTTACATACAAGATACAAGAATCGTCTTCTGGAATCGTAATCTGGAAGTTCAAATACTTTTAGTGGGTTAAGGTTTATCTTTTCCCTTGATTTAATAATTTTTTACAATTTTCACTTTTATTGTTTGATGAAATTTCCTAAAAAGTTTCACATAAAAAATTGAAAATAATTACTCGTGAATTCTCCTTTTAATCATATTATCTATATAAATTCGCAAACACACTACGTCTTCAAAATCACTCGCATTTTTCAAATTTAAGTGAAGAGAATTAATGAAAAAAAGTACATTCGGAAAGTCATTTAATTATCTTAATTTTCCTTTTGTAAGTTTAATCTAAGAACGCCTGCGCGGAGAGAAGGTTCTCTTGGGTGCGGGGGCGTCCTCCTGGTGTTGCTGCGACTCCTCGGCGTCCTCGGCGGCCAACTGCTCCTCCTGCGGCCGCGACCTGTTCAGACTGGCCCTCCTGGCGAAGGTCGGGGGCGCGTGGCGGGCCTTGGGCGCCTCCACCGGCTCCACGCTCTGCGCCACCGGCTGCGGCGCCACGTGGCCCCTGGTACTCGGACTGAAGTGCTTGCGGGGCACGGCGTTCACGTTGTTGCTGCGGTTGCCCCCCTTGTTGGGCTTGACGGGCTTCGGGGCCTCGGTCTGCTCATCCTGCCCGCTCGAGGGCGGCGCGTGGGTGGACACCTTGGTCTGCGAGCGACGACGCTTGAGGGCGGCCAGCAACTCGTCGTTGCTGCGGAAGGGACGCACAACGCCGTTGCGACCTGCAGCATTAAAATCGGGATGATTTTTTTATTTTCCTTACCAAATAAAATGGGAATTCGTAATTTGAATGCTTTTGCTCAGAATAAAATTTATGATAATTTTTACTTTTTACTAATTTCATTAAAAACTTTTGATCTCTTGAAAATATGATTAAGCCAAGTTGTAAAAAAGGAGCCTTTTTAAGGAAATACTTTGTGCGTCTATTTGTTGATAGTGTAATATGTGTGAAATTGTAAATAAAAAAACCCTAAAAAGATATTAGAATAAGTGAATTGTTACAAAAAAAAAAAAAATTAAAATCTAGAGGAATTATATTCATAAAATAAGTGATTTTAGCTGATAATTATCAATTAATAATTAAAAATAGGAGAAAATTAATTCCAGCCATGAAGTCATTTGAAGAACAATGCATTATGTATCATTTTCATCCTGTGATATCCTTAAATATTCATTTTAATATAAAAATAAATAATTTGGACGTTTTTAAAAACAAATGGAATATTTTACTGATCATTTTAAAATTATCATTATTTTATAAAAACAATATTATTGACACAGAAAAAAAAATTATAAATAGAAAAACAAAAATAATTATAATGATTAATAATGACGTTTTAAATTTTATTTAAAGGTCTTATTTTTTAATATCAACTAAATTAAAAAACATCTACTTTTTTAATGAAAATTATTATTTTGGATTATTCAGCAATTTTCAAATGTAACTTTAATTTACTTCTTCAAATTGTTGTTGGTAGGCGAGAGTGTTTTTCTGTTCTGATGCATAGTGTTTGTCGGTATAAAAGCAGTTTTAATTTTTAAGAGATTATTCGAGGATTTGTTTCAGTAAAAACTCGTGAAAACCTCTAAAAAAATTCAATTGACATATATGCAAAGAGAGCTTTGTTCATTCTCACAGGAACATGAAATTCCTGTTCGTTATTTAATTTTTTCCGGCAAAATATTGCTCAATTAATTGATTGACTTTCCAAGTAATGCAAGAGTGTAGAAAATTTGATAATTATAGTTCATACATACCGGCGATCAAGTACTTCTTGGTGGTGGGTTCCTCAGAGACGGGCGCCGCTGCTTCTTCCTGCGAGTTTTCCTCCTCGTCCTCGTATTCTGCAGGGGCGGCAGTGGTGGTGGTCGTTGTGCTGCTCGGCTCAGGTGCGACCTTTTTGCCGGCCGCAGGTTTCCTTAGCGACGACAGACCTCGACCGCGGTTGAGAGAGGTCGGCCGGGCGGTGGAAGAGGGGACAGGGGCTGTCTCGACCACATCGTCGTAATACTCCGCTTCGTCTTGTGGTCGAGCCTCCGACAGGGCGGCCAGTGCCACGACTATGGCCAGTAGCCTAAAACAATCAATGGGAAAATATAATCAATACATGGAATAAACACAATTTAATTATGGGTATAATGTGTGAAAAAATACTAATTTATATATATAAGGAGGAAAATTATGAAATTTGAAAGTAATATTTATAAAAATATCAGAAAAATGCTAAAGAAGCAAATATGGTGGTTGAAGATGGTTGATGTAAAAAGCAATATTAAAATAAATAAAATATTAAGCATTGATAATAATTTTAAAAAACGAAATTGAAATCAAATATTTAAGTAGATTGAAAAATTGAATTGCAACAATCTGACAAACATTGCAAATTTAAGCAAACATTAAACAGACTAAATGAACCAAATCATTACATAATCATATTAGAAGAGAAAAAGAAAATTAAAAATTTATGTGTTTTAGTTTCAAATTTTTTCTTTGAGAATTTATGAATCTTCAGCATTAAAAATTTTCGGCACCTAAATAAAAGCAAACAAAATAATTTTGCATATTATTGTGTCTAGCTGAAAGTTCTCAATAATTTTCGCTGACAATATAGAATTTGCAAGTCAATAATCATGTAGCTAGAATTTGATGTCTATTTGCAAATATGAGCGCAGTGAAACATTAATTCTAATGCAAATTATTATTATTACACATCACGACGGAATATTTGGAATTTTGTGTCAAAAGCTGTGCAAATATCCAGTGGATAGACTGCCAAATTGGTGCTGAACTGAAATGAGACAAGCCATGTAATCGCATAATGTGACAGCTGTGGCAGAATAATTGGAATTTCGGAACGCAGATATACATCCAATTAAATTAAATCTAAAATTGATATTAATTGGAAACCGACCAGAATAACACATGTAGCAATTTCCAGAAGAAATTTTGAGAAAAAGTTCGTATTGTGTTTTTTCTTCTTTCTTTGCTCAAAATTTTATACATAGGACTTTTGATTTTGTTTATTGTGTCATTTTAAAAAACAAAAACTGTTTTATTAATATTTTTTTCTAAAATTTTATATTTTCTTGTTTGACCTTACTTTTTCACGTATCCAGCATAAAAAATAATTGAAACCTATCAAAAAAATGGTTTTAAATTATCTTTTCATAAACAGAGATTTGTCAAAAGGAAGCGGTGAGCGTGCGTATCTTCTCATGATGAGCAACAATGAAGGAAGGTGTATTATTTATCGAAATACCATCTCGTGGCATTCAACTTGTTCTTTCTCTCCCTCTCATCTCGGAGCGTATTTTCATCATCATCCCAATAAACCGATGCTTTTCTCGATGCATTACATCAGCATCGAGCGGCCCATAAAAGACGAGAGTCGTGACGACGGAGCGCGCAATTGCCTCTTTTTAATTTTCGAATGCTTTTAAAGAGAGGAGAAAGGATTTTTAGACAAATGTCAGTCAGCCAATTTCGATGAGCCCCAAATTTTTACGTGCGCAGATTGGCAAATCAGTCGCACTGGGAATGAAAACCCGAGAGAATAAATTTCCATTCTGTCACAGAGAAAAGTAATTCGCACACACCAACTTTCCGGAACAAAAGAGACCCGCTCTTTTTTATGTTTGTTTACAAAAAGTAAATCACTGCTTGCTTTGTTTTAGTACTTTTATATTCCAATAAACAAAGTTTGGGCAGTCGATTTGCATTAAATGTGTCCAGCGGGTTTTTTTCCTCGTTGCATCACTTCTTGCCCTGCTGGACAAAGAGAACGCCGACCTTAATCTGGCGTGCGGCCATACGATACTGGTTTTCCACTTTAATTTATTCAGGTTCAAATGCGTGTGTATAAAATCCAGAGCCGAAATGCCAGGCCGATGTATACGTATTGGAGCGAGAAAAAGTGCAAGTTGTTGCTCTTGAACGTTAACGCGCGCGACACACATTTTTCGTCTCCAACCGTGGAATGGAAAAAAGAATAAAAAGCAAGTTTTGTTCATTACCAAACATATTCGGCCGCTCTATTCTCGTCTTGCGAGTTACTCGAAAGAACCTATTATGTAAAATTGTTTCTTCTAGTAAAACACAATTTATCAAAATTAATTGGCCGGTAAAAATCAATTTATTTTTAAAATGGCTTTTTACGAAAGTCAAATCATTTGAAAATGTATTAGAATAAACACTTTAAATTGGAATTAACGTGATTTATTATTTTAAAAAAAACTAATAAGACAAGGAATTGCTAAAAATATGCTGTTAATAATCCATTTTTTATAAGAATTTTTGTGAGGGTTTTTGTGAGGAAAACTAATGAGTAAAGAATTTCAAAAGAAGCACCAAATATTTGTTTTCATAATTGCAAAGCAGGACATATATGATTTCAAAACATTTCAAATTAATATTGTGGCCTTTTGCCCATTAGTTGCCATAATTTAAATAGAAAAATAAACTAGTAATTCTTAGTAGACAAGAAAAAACCAGCAAGATTTACTCATAAAAAAATCCAAATTTGTCTATTCAACGATTAAAATGAAAATTTTCTTTATAAATCAAACAGGTTTTAAAATAATTAATTTAAAAATCATCTTCTTTAGATATTATTTTCTTTTGTTTATTTTAATATTTTATATAATGAAATTTTAATTATTTTTTATCTTCATAATTTTATTTTTTACAAATGGATTGAGGTTTTAAGTAGGCAACTTTGTATTTTATTAAAAAAAAATTACATTAAGAACTACAAAATATATTAAACAAAAATTGTTTAGTCTTCTATAGAATTACACATTTCTTAATTCATTTTTCTGGAAAAGAAAAGGCCACCAATGAATAATTAAATTGAAAAAAACCTCTCATATTCAAGGTCTGTCACGTAAATTTTATTATCACTTTAACCGATTCACAGTCGCGCGTTTTGTTATAATTTTATGGCGTTAATCTCAGCCAAGAGAGTAGTTTAAATTCCCCAAACACATCAATCTCGCTACTGCTCTTGAATAATAAAAACTTTATTAAAGAGGTTAGACAATTCCCACTCTAGCTGGTATTTTTCAAATGAAATTATTTTCGAAATGAGAGATTACGTCAGCGGAGAAATTCTATTACTGATGGTAAATAATATGCTCTATACGAGGGCGGGAAAAAACTCGCGACGAATCGATACAAACAAACTTGAGCATTATTTGTGCGGGCGCGAAGGGAAAACACCTTTCACCATTCATATTCGAAAAACAGCGGCGCGCCTTCCTGCAATAATTACTCAATTGTAATTATGTCGAGATGATCACGCCCAGATAGCAAAATGATTATTTCTTCGTCCGGTCCTGCACCGGAGAAACTTGACCTTGTCCCGGAAATTAATTAAGTCTCAAGTTGTTGTTTTCTTGCCAAATTGGCACAAAAAAAGAAATAACGCTTCCTGCAGATGAAGGAAAACATTTGCAAATTAGCATTTTTCGCGAGCCAAATGAGGTGCCAATTGCAATTTCACCACTGCTTTTTACTTTCCTTTTCCGATTGCTGGCACTTTTCCAGATTCGTTGAAAACGTTTCTCTCACTTGCAAAGGCCAATGAGGTGCATCGAGAGGAGCGATTTCTCAAAATGAAAATGCATTGGGAGAAGATCGACCGGAGGAGCACTCGTGCGGAAAAGCCAGCCGAAACCTAATCATGCGAAAATGTAATCTGGCGTAATTGGTGGAATAAAAAAGAAGGAGCCGCTTATTGTGTTTCTCGCACGTCACCAGATTTCGGCGTTTTCTAATTCAACAAAAAAGTGGTTTCTTTTTCTGCTTTTATAAAAATATAAATAACACTGTAAGGAGGAAAAAATGACATGTACTCACGTGAAAGTCCGCATGGTGATCGGATTTTGATTCTGTTAATCCAGCGGGAGATCTAACTGGAGGCGCGCGGCCAACGAGCGCCACCTTTATACCTGGCTCCCCCCCTTCCTGCTCAAAATGCATACCTGAGGCTCTCAACTGAGACAGACTGTAGAGCAAATCTGAATATAATAAAATATTCAGGAATTCCCAAGAAATGTCAACGAATCATCTCTGTTACTCGGAATCGATATCGCCGTTTAATTAAACCCAGAAAAGTTTTTACTTTCTTTTTTAGTGAAATTATTGGTTCGATTTTATTTGAAGGGATAAAACGTGAATCAAACGAAGCTGTTTATAAAAAATAATTATATATTAAAAAGCAAAGAAAGAGTTTTACTATTTCAGTAAATGCTACTATAAATTAGAGCGCTCAAGCAATCATTAAATGGTAAATGATTTCTCACGCATTTTAGTCGAATTGACCTTAGAAATTTACAATACTCATGTGGTTGTACCTGCGCAACACAGAATAAATTAACTTTTTTAGTTTAAATCTTCCATTATTTCTACATAAATATGAATGTTTTGCAAACAGTGTTTAAAATTTTCCAGAATTTTCAGTGAATTGTTTTCCATTTTTTATGACAAATTAATTTTTAATAATGTAAACAGCAATAAAAAAATTCCAAAATTTGGTTCAGCGAATCTAAAAAATATGCTAAACTCTCAGAATATCAAAGTAGGAAATTGGTAAGTTGACATTTTTGGTATTAATAAAAGTTTTTAAATGGAAAGGTATAAAAAATGTGCAAACTCCACTAAATTTATCCAGGCCAATTTTTCACTTTTGATGAGACATGCAAATTTACCAAATCTCAATTTTATTCTATAGTGCGCGCTCAACTTAACAAAAAACGGAAGTATTGATGACTTTTGAATTATTTTATTATGTGATATTATGTTGTATTGATGTTTGTTGTTTGAGTTTGAAATTTTCAATTGGTTTAAGGAATTAGCAAAAAAAAATTAGCTTACAATATTTTTTTTTTCTTCCTTTTTTGCTGCGCATTTAAAGTAAAAAAAGCAACTTATAGCACTGAAAAGTGTGCATATAATTGTTTCAGTCTGGTATGTGAGTGGCGAGTTTTTTTTTAGCGCGACGAGTGAATTTTTTACCTCTGAGCGCCGAGAAATGATCAAGTGTGCTGCGTATGACTCGAGAGAGAAATTGTTATGCAATAGCAATTTCATTCCAAGTGCGCGAATAATCAGAGCAGGTTCACCTCTTCTCAGCAGCAACTCTACTTTTGCTCGCTCCTTACAGAAGCAAAAAACGTCTGCGTACGTCATTGGTACACAAAGTTGAAGCAATTTATTTTTTAAATTTGTGAAAACATAGAAATAAAAATCTAATTTTGATACAGGAAGCAGACGAGGATGAACTCCAAAGGTGAAAAATAATATAAAGCAAGGTTGTCTTTCGTCGTATTTAAAATGCGTTCAATAATTTTTGTGGACACACGTTTAAGATTTCGGCGGAGAGCAAGGTCGGCGGCGAAATGAATTATTTATTAGTTCTCGAGAGACGCGCGTGCCGCGGGTTATAAAACGCCATGAGGTGCATGCGTGCGAACTCCGCTTGTATCAGGGCGGAGCAGCAGCAATCTGGAGCGACAATAACTTTTTTGTCGCGCAACCTTTCCTTGATCTGCTATTGAAAATCACTCTCTGTGAAGGAAGTGGTATAAGAGCTTTGCTTGATGGCAAAACGAATCAAAAACCCGCGCCCTATTAGAAAATAAAAAGGTTCCGGATATTGTGCGCTGCCCTTTCCTCTCCGCACATACGAATTTGACTCAATAACATGGAACTTTATTGCTTTATTTTTTTAGATTGATACTGGATTGATATATCAAGCGACTCAAAAAGAACAACATGACGAAAGAAAGATGAAAGATTGAAATATTTTTAAATCAAGCTTGTAATACATTTTAATTTCACCTTTGGATAATGTTTATATCTAATCTGAAATGGTATTAAATAAGTTGAAGTAACTTCAATGAAGTTATATAAAGAACCTGGACACAGAGTATTATAGTTTTTGGGTACCAACTGAAGCCCTATTCCATGAACTTCCTAAACCTTGTCTTACGTAATCTTGCAATGCATGTCATAACCTATAAGAGACTGAGTAGAGATATTTTTTGTTCAATTTTTTTTTCGATAAAAAAAAGTTCAATATTTTTAGAAATAATTTTACTAAAAGAAGTGGTTTGATTTGAGTGCAGACATATTTTATTCGAATTATAATTGATTAAGTTAATAAAGTGTCTGTTTTGAATTTGAATACACAATTTATAAAATAAAAATGAAAATTATAAATAAATTTCTTAAGTTTTTAATGTATTTATTTTTAATAATTTTTGCTGCTCTAAAAGAAACAAAATATTCCGTTAAATACAGCTTACAGTATATTTAGTATTTTTATTTATCAATCACCAATATTGAATTTATTTTTGCAGAGATCAGTGATGAGCTCATAAGAATGCTTTTGTAACGTATGAAGAACTCCAACCCCTGACCTTTTTTGCACAAACAGTCAAAGATTTGCAATCATTTCTTTCTCCACTCGAGTATAGCAAACGACAATGACAGCAAAACTACGGCGGCAGATAATTCACGTGGCGAATGAATGAATGGGTGCCGGGCGAGTCTTTCTTTCGTATACTCGGAGCGCCGCCAGCGCGCGGTGAAAGGCGTGTAAAATCACCAAGGTGGAGACCTTTTTCCAGCAAAGCTTTCTCTGCTCTCAGTGTGTGTGTGTATATTATGCTCTTTAATTAATTTGAACCCGCCTTGCGCTGCTTGGTGGGATTATTATCATTGCGCGCTGCCGAAAGTGCGCCCCGCTCGGCAGGTGCGGAATTTTTCTCTTCGTCGCGTTAATAATTCAGCGCCGAGATCATCTCAAATTCGCCCAAGGAATTCGTAAATAATGTACGGTGAAAGAGCCGCCAAATCTCAAAGGGCCCCAAGTTTGTTTTTACAGTAGCTTTTGCAAAAGAAATGCGTTGAAAACTTAAAGAAGCAAGAGATAAAATAATAATTAAAAATTTAGGTGAGTTATTACTTGGGAAAAGTTAAAACAAGACAATTACGAAGTTGGGAAGTCATCATTTACTTTTAACTTAAAAATGTACTAGTTTTTAATTTTTGAATGGGAGGAAAACTAAATTTTGGATAACCATTTTACATTATTTGTAACTAAATCAATATAATCAACGACGAGGGATTAGATTTTATGGTCAATACACTTCCAATAATTAGTGTGTACCTGTTTATATTTACCTAATTAAATTGTGCTGAAAAGCAAAAAATCTCTTTGGAACTTGCTTATTTATGTTTATTTTAAATGAAAAAAATATTTATCCTTTCACTTTGCAAGACGAAAGCAAATTCAACATAATTTTAATTGTGCATTTATCTGATTATTTTTTTTTATTAGTTTTAATCTCTCATCATAAGTAAAGTAGTTCACAACAAGTAGTTCACAAAAACAAAAATTGAATTCAAAATCAAATCACAATATTTTGGATTCACAGATCTGGCGGCAAAAGGGCTGCCCTGGCGTTTAGCAATTGGTCGGGGCCACAAATGACGCTGCTGAGATTTTTGGAGCCCATCAAAGCTTCGATGATCTGCATGTCCGAGTCTTTTTGCAGCACCTCTTCCAAGGGTGTCCAGGTCAGGTCGCATTCCAGACGGAACGAGCCTTGAAAGTCGTGCGGACAGGTCGTCCCCCACTCCTGCACCAGATAAATTTTTTCGTCAATTCAAAACTCGATATAATTATTTTGCACACACCTCTGGCGAGAGCATGCTGAAATAAGTCTGTCCGGAGGGTCTTTTGTATAAGTGATAAATGTTTCCTGGAACCTTCTTGAAATTGCAAGCAGCGTGGTGCAATCTCGTGTTGTCCTTGGCCTCCTGCAGAATTTGAATGGCCATTTGCTGCAGATGCCTGACCTGGTCAACGATCACTTTGAGTTTGTTGCTTGCGGTTGCCTTCACAAAAGTGTCTGCCTAAATTCAACAAAATCCATGTTATTCTTAAAAAAAATTTAAAGATTTTTTTTTATAAATTTTCTAGAGAACATAATTATTATTAGTTAATAATAAACTAAACAGTAACATTTGTAGAAAAAATTAAATTTCTTTAAACTTACAAATATTAAATTAAAAAATAAAAATAAAATTTATTTCAAATCACTTACTTTCTGTATTTCTTGTGCCATAGCGACCAAGTCATTTGGGTCAGAGATTTTTGCCATTGCGACTGTATTCAAAAGAGGAATGCCGTACGGCGCCGGATTTCTCTCCACAAGAGTGACTGCAAGAGACATGAGAAGCAATTTTAGGCAAAAGTGGAGCATCATTTGCAAATTTCACAGATGAACAAGCACTTATTGATGTGGGATGAAAAGCGTCCAGACAAAGTTTTCATTATTTTATTTTTCGCCTTCAAATTTTATTCATGAAGCAAGTTTTCACAAAAATAACAATGTGTAGGCAGTTGATGAATATTCATCACATTTTCCAAGTCAATAGCTCGGCATATTATCCATATTTTATTTCCAATTTCCATAGCGGAATGTTTAGTTTGCAAGGTTTTATCATGATGTACATAAATTCCTCTTTGAGGCTACTTCACTATTTTGAAATGTTTTGATGAGGAAAAGAAACTGCTGCAGAAATTAATATAATATAGGAAAGCAGCTTGATGAATTATTAATTTTAGCACCTGAAATTTGGTTTATTTCAAACTAAGATTTGTTGAGTTCATTGAGTTTACATCATCAGTGAACATTTAAATTGCAAGCCATGAATCAAAATCAGTCTGAATCAATTTCTTTTACACAGCAAATTTCCCTTCTCTCAAATCACAAAATACTGGCACAGAGAGCTTGAGAATGCATGTCAGAGTAATGGTTCATTTTCTGAGCAGCCTCGGACCTGCCGCACCTGTACATGTCCCCGACCATCTTGGCCACCAACTCTGGCAGCAGCACAGACATGCACAGGTTGCACTTTCCGGACATGTTGTCCGCACAGAGCTTCAGTTCTTGCATCATCAGGTTGACCAGGACGTCAGAGTTCTTGAGGCCGAACATCATACTTCCAGTCACTCTGGGCATCTTGTGTGGAGGATCAGTCATTTGGAACATCTTCAGGAGATCACACTCAATTTCTCCATCAAGAATGGCCTGAAGAGATAAAAATTATAAATTTCCACAATTAAAAAATTTTACTGCCAAATATTGGTAATATTTATACCTGAAGGTAGTTCTTGTTGAAGGCAAACATGCGTCTGAAGACGTCCAGGTTGGCAGTCGTGATGGCGTTGCCGTCTTTGTCCAGTCTGTACTTGATGTGGGCCGAGTCGGCGGCCCACTTTTTCTCAGGGTACTCCTTCTTGATGCAAAACTTTTCAGGGATGCAGTCAGGCGCCTCCAAGGGCAAAGGGATCTCGTCGCACAGGGCGGCCAATTGCTGAGAACCGCCGAGGGACATCCTGCTGTTGCCTAGCACACACACACACTCCCGAAATTCAGAAACTATCGCACTTTTTCAACAATTATAATCTTTAGAAGAGACGACTTTGGAGATAAAAAGGAGATATGAATCCTCAGCAATAATGATTATGGAGAAATTTTTTAAACTGCTAAACAATGGAATTTGAGAGAATTGTTTCGTTTGATTTTGTCTGGTCGCGTTTGAAAAGAAATTTATGAGTTATGTAACGATTTCGTGGAAAAACTCCTCACCAAGGGACGTGTCCATTTTCTTGTCGTTCTGGCTCATGTCTGACAGTTTGCTGCGCTTCGGCGAGATCATGCGTTCTTGAATGACCAAGATTTCTTCAGAGGTACTAACGCAACCTCCAGCAAGGGTCACAGGGTTATCTTTGATGGGCCAAATCGATCCTTTGTTGAAATAAATTATCTCACATCAGTGCTCTGCAAGTCCACGCCGCTGCAAACAAATTTTCTGAGTGATAAACAATCAATTTTGCCAACGTAATTTAACACAACCATCAAAATGTGGATAAAAAAATAGTAATTTATAAATGAAAAAATGAGAAAAGTTATTAGATTTAATTTCTTTTTTACAAAAATGTAATTTTGAGAATTTTAAATTTATATTTGCTTTAAAATATAGATATAATTGAAAGCGAGACAGTTTTGAGCTGTTGGTACTCAAGAATTGAGGGTATTTTCTATAAAAATTGTTGCGCGCTCTCGTCTCACAACAAGCCTCCGTGGCGCAATCGGCTAGCGCGTTCGGCTGTTAACCGAAAGGTTGGTGGTTCGAGCCCACCCGGGGGCGTTTTTTAATATCTAGAAATGTCAAAACCCTTACAAAATTAGTTTAGTGTATAAAATATTATCAGCCTAAAAAAAAACTCATTTTTGGTACCTGAATTGCTATGAATTCCAATCAATTCATCTTAATTAACTCTTAAATAGAATTGAAAGAAATGCTTGTAAAATATCAATAATCCTACTTCTTACTTACAACATATTTATTTGGAATCTTTCCTAATGAATTCGTGAATTAAAAGGAAATGAAAAATAAATTGCCTTCCACTCTCTTACGGATAAAATAAGAAAATAAGAATCGTATGGTTATTATTATTTTCTTGAATTATCTTTTATACAATTTCGTAGTTTTATTATTAATTAATTTTACAAGAAAATTAAAAAGTTTCATAGTATCACTTTTGGTCTTCATGTGTTGGACTTTTAGGCTTGTAAAGCCTCGCTCCAAATATTGAACTTCCCACTCGAACATTTGTGCTTCCAACCTCAATCTAAAAATATCATATCAAAAATCACACAATTACTACACATACTACATATAAGAAAAAAAAAATCATACCGCATGTTCAAAATCATCCGACATTCCCATCGAAAGTTCGACCTCATCAGATTTGAGTCCCAGCTTTTGGCACACATCTAGGCGACACTTTGTCAAAACCTGTTATATAACTCTTTAGTACAAAATTTATATAAACAATTTGAATTGGTACTTGAAAATCAGGATTTGGGCCCAAAGATATGTCGTAGCCGTACTGCCCAATTGTCATCAGTCCTGCAAATTTAAGATTCGGGCACTTCTCCAACACGTGACTCACAACATCTGGAGTTTCTTCCGGTTTCAGTCCACCCTTTTCTAAAAAGTTTGTTGGATGTTGGTGTATGACAAAATTAAATTTGAAATTTCTATTAAATTTTACCAGCTTCGGCGCTAGTGTTGACCTGGACCATGATTTTGATAGGCTCCTTGCCGAACTTTCCCCACGCTTCGTGCAATGCCGACGCTAGTTTTGCGGAATCGATGGTCTCGACCATGTATAAGTTTGGAGTGTTAACCACTTTCGAGACTTTATTTCTTTGCAGGCGGCCGATGAAGTGCCACCTAATCTCTGGGCATTTGGACAAAATCTAAAAATTAAAAATAACTATGCAGATATTTAATCTTTTAGCTTTTGAAACCTCTGCATCGTTGCTCTTTTGGTTGAGCTCCTGGATATAATTTTCGCCAAAATGTCTCTGGCCAGCTTCGTAGGCTGCGATTATCAATTCGTTGGGCTTCGTTTTGCTCACAGCCACCAAACGAGGGCGAATCAGTGAAAGTTCCTTGAAAAGAATATGGTGTAAAACACTAAAATAACATTTTAAAAAAAATACCGGTGGCCTTCTCTTGCAGGCGGCTTCGAATCGCTCAAGCACACTTTTCAAACCCGCTTTTACAGCCTCTCCCATTTTAAAATACGATTAAAAAGCGAAAAGCAATACCACCACAGAAACTAAACGGACTTTGGACTAAAACTTCGTGATTAAACGAACAAAAATAAGCTCAGTTGGTTTGTTTTCGTCAACAACATCAGCTGGAGCTGCTGGACCGATCTGAAGAGGATGTGTAGAAAGGAGATATAATAACTAGGAAGAATATAGCAACTTAATTCATACATAAACCCTTTTCATAAATCATAATTTATATAAATATATATTTTAATACTGAAAATTATATAAAGTAACGTTTAATATTTTGCATCACAATTGAGGGAGTATAGAATTTGGAAGTCACAAACTCCTTTTTATCCACCATTCATCAAAAGTAAACATTCCGCAAACACGTGTGAAGATATTAGATAAGATGAGATGATTAAAACCATTTCAAACCATTTCTCGACCAGTCGACTTAATTTTTGTTTCATGAAGTCTATAATTGAAATTTAATTCATTCGTGATAATCGAGAATCGTGATGCTAAGAAGACTATTTTCCAGATGTCTACTCACTCATGTATGGACCACGATTTTTGTTTGTTTATTATTATTTTGCATACATATTACATATACATAATTTACAGCATGATTATGTTTGTATTTTTGTGTTAAATTGATTTTGTAGATTTTAAATTAAAGAATTATATTTTGTTTTGAAGCAAATAATTGCTATTCATACATTTATATCTGTTTGATTTAAAAAGTATGTACTGTATAATTTTTATGTTTTATTTCAGGCGAATTTAAAATACCCTGGTGGAAAATGGAGCCGAAGAAATACAAGTTCGCAGTCAAAATTCATGATTCTGGGAATTGAGACTAGCTGCGATGATACCGGCTGTGCAATCGTGGACAGCGACGGGAACATTCTCGGAGAGTCCCTCCATTCCCAGCTCAAAGTTCATCTCGAGTAAGCTCCAATTTTGAAAATCTTCATTTTGGAATTAATGAGATTTTTGCTGTAGCCACGGAGGAATTGTTCCACCTGTGGCTAGTGACATGCACAGAGGGCACATAGACAAAGTCGTGGAAGAAGCTATTTCAGCGGCCAATATTGACATCAACGACATCGCTGCCATTGCAACAACCAACAGACCTGGTTCAAAGCTAATTTTCTGTGCCTTGCGTTATTTTTAATATTCTATTCAAGGTATGCCTCTGTCTCTCGACATAGGAGTAAGAAAAGGCAAGAAGATGGCCAGGGAACACGGGCTGCCTTTTATCCCAATCCACCACATGGAGGCTCATGCCTTAACAATTCGAATGATAGAAAAGGTGAAACAACTATTTAAATAATTTTTTGAGTTTTATGTTTTTGATTTATTTGACAGGACGTTGAATTTCCATTTTTGGTTCTCCTGGCGTCTGGTGGCCACTGCATTTTGGCAATTGCACAATCCGTCGACAAATTTCTCCTCCTCGGCCAAACAATAAACAATGCTCCTGGAGAACAACTTGACAAAGTGAATAAAAAAAAAAATTGAAAAATTGTAATAAAAACTAATTCACCCTTAAGGCTGCTCGTAGCATGAACTTACGTTTGATACCAGGGCTGGAAAATGTGTGTGGTGGTGCTGCCGTTGAAATTATGGCATCAAGAGGGCTTTCCAACGCTTTCCAATTTTCACCTAGCATGACTGCATATCGAGACTGTAACTTCAGCTTTGCGGGAATACACATGAATTTGATAGGCCACATTAAAAAATTGAAAAAGAAACACGGTATATAAATCTTCTGCGTATATTATTATAAATTTCAAAGTTTGATCAATTTTGTGTGCAGAACTCTCAGAGGATGATTTTTTGCCTGGACTGGAGGACTTGTGTGCCAGCTATCAACATGCCTTTACTGTTCATATTTGTCAAAGACTGCAACGAGCCTTCGAATTCATCAACAGGAAAAACCTCATACCCGTTCGTGATGGCCTTAGACCTTTCGTAATTATTTTCACCGTTGCTTTCTTACTTTATTATTAAATTTTTAGAATTCTAGGTTGTTTCTGGCGGTGTGGCCAGCAACAAGTATATGAAAATGGCCATGGGGGTTGTGTGTAGCGAGTACGACTACAAGTTGTTTGCTCCTCCTCCACATTTGTGCACAGACAATGGTGTGATGATTGCCTGGAATGGCGTCGAACGGTGGCGAACGCAGAGCGGTATTGCAGACAAACTAGATGATGTTGATTTCTACGGGAAGTGAGTCTTACCGCCTCATTTAAATAATAAATTGCTAATTTTTATTTGACTAGATGTCCTTTGGGAGTGGACATTAGCCAAGAGGTCACTGACGAGGATATTAAGTGCAAGTGGATAAAGCTGAACAACCTGAAACTGAAGTCCGAATTTCTTTATTGGGACTAAGGAAGAAGTCAAAAAACAGTGAGTGTTTAATAATTTTTATTAATTTTTTAAAATCAATCTCTGCTGATACTTATTTTGTGCTTATTTCTGATGCATATCTAACTTTTGATAGCTTAATGTTTTAAATTATAATAATATAAATTTCTTTTACCAATCAGTGCAATTATTAAAAAAAAATCTGATAAGTCATGAGGGTTCATTTGAAACAATTTATTAATATTTGTTTTGAACTGACTGTGAGATTGGATAATCTTATCAAATGATAAGAAAATCAAACGAGTATTAAAAACGTTTTTATACATGTTTTATTTTCTACAATCTTAAAATGTGGTAAAATTTGCCATCTGTTATAAAAAAAAAGGGAAATTATAATTTAGTTAATTTAAAGGCATTTCAATATTTTAATAAATATTTTTATAAATTTAATCCACACCGTTTACAGCAATAAACGTGTAAATACATAAAAACATTTTGGTTTTGGAATGTAAATTATTTACTTCTTGGCTCGAAGTACACGTGAATTCCCTCCATTGGGTGAATTGCCAGACTTGGGGACAATTTCACTGGATACGAAGTTTTTTCTGACGGTCTGATGGTGTACTGCTTCAGAATGGATATGAGTGCAGCCTTAATTTGCACTTGTCCAAACTTATAACCTGTAATAATTTCAAAAATTGAAGCACTCTATTCATAATACACTATGGGAAAATTTACCAATGCAAATTCTGGGGCCCTCGCTGAACGGTATATAAGAGAATGGAACAATTTTCTTTTTATTCTCAGGGCTGAACCTTTCAGGGTCAAACTTGTCAGGTTCGGGCCAGTACTTAGGGTCGTTGTGCAGGGAATAGATTGGAACAGTAACTGGCGTACCCTTGGCGATTACCAGGTCCGAATCCGGCACCCGATAGTCTTCGGTGCACTGTCGCAAGACTAGTGCAAGCGGCGGGTACTTTCGAAGGATTTCTGCATCCCCATTTGAAAATTTTGTTTTAGGCCCAAAGATTTTTTTAACATAAAAAGATATACCAGAAATTACTTGTTCCATGTAAGGCATCTCAAGGAGGACTTCGTAAAAAACTTTCCCATCATATTTTTCCAACACCTCGTCCAACTCTTGTATTAATTTCTCCTGCACGTGTGGGTGGTTAGCAATCTCGATGAGTGCAAAACTTATAACAGTGGACGTAGTTTCAAAACCATCGCCGATAAAACCCATCAGTGACCCGGCAAACACATCGAGGGTCCAGTCTGAATTTTTTTTATTCGTTTAAAAAATTGCAATAAAAAATATAATTGACACCAACCAAATTTTTTTTCGACTGATTGTGAGTCATAAATGTCGGTTGAGTCGCTCTGCAATTTGTGTTCTCCATCTTCATGCTCTTCTTTAATGGTGCCTTTTTTCTTCAGTTCCATCAGCATGTTGATGAAGTCAGGCCGTGTAATGTTCTTCTTTTTGCGCAGTTCCATCATGTCTGCGATCAACGACTTCATGAAATTGCATAACTTCTCCGGAATGAACTTCATTTTCAGAATGCTCATAGTCTGTGCATTTTTTTTTCATTTAATAATAACCAGTTGATTATTTAATTAAAATAAGATTTAACCTCAGGTGAAAAGTACATGAAAATGTTGATGAGGACTTTCAATTTGGATGCGTTAAAAAGGCCAATTCCCAATCTTTTGAAAACGCTGTCCTTTTCGTTCAGTGCGTTGCTCTTGACGCCGAACGCACAAAGGGCGGCCACATCGATTTTGAAGCGGGCGGCCATCGCTTTGGCGTCGATGCTATCGCCTTTCAAGTTCATTTCAATGAAATTCATTAAATCTTCGCATATTTCCATCATCAAGGGAAACATGTGCCTGACTTTTCCAATGGTAAACGCGGGGTTGATTCTGGTGCGAACATACTTCCATTTCCAGCCTGTCAGGATCGCCAAGTGGTTTGCTATCAGTTAGATTTCTTTATTAATAGAAACTTAAAAATGAAGAAACGGCAATTGCTAAAGCGTTTAAATTTCAGGCAAAAAAACTGGGTTTACCAAACACAGGGTCGCGTTTCTCGTCAGCCGTATATGCGTTGTCATGGAAGCTTTTGAAATCTTTGGATAATACGTTTTTTACCAGTTCTGGGTCTTTGATGAGAAGGGCTGGTTTTTTCAATTTGTAAAAGCCAATATACCTGTAAACAGTTCACGATCCTTTTTTTATTTACCGTTAGGCATTTTACTAAATTCAATGCATTCCTTTTTTCTGTGGATAAATCATGGCTGAAAGTCATGTTTAGTTCAGCAACTGGGAATTTTTTCTACATTCTATAGGTTGCATTCTTTATTATATAAAATTTAGTTTATGATATTTTATCTTACAAGCCTCCAAGCATAAACTTTCAACTCTAATTACACAAAACGTATTTTAAATCTGTCTTATTGGTGAACAATAAATAAATAAATTAATAATTATTGAAAATTATTTTGGGAGACATAAGGAATAAAACCTTTTTCTGAGTAGGAAATATTTCTAGAAACTATTATATAATCTTCCTTACCTTGCGTCCGGGTGTTCATTGTACATGGCTTGAAAAAATAAAGCCACTGAACGTTTCAGTAGCAAAATTTCCGACAGGCTGCCAAACAATATAGATTTTTGTTTTGTGGTTGGAACGCCAAGTTTCTGCCAATAATTGTTGTTTTGCGTGAGCCACCAATAAACGGCAGTCAGAGCAACAATGGCCACGGCCAAAATGTCTGTCACAAGAGACTCAAAAACTAGCCCCATTCTTCAATTCAATATGACTCTTTTATGCGATTACTTTGCCCTAAATGATGATTGTACAAAATAAATGAATTTATTTTTCAAGACTAAACACTTGGCGTTGCAGAAAAGGAACGAATCTGCAAGATTTCTTTTTATATATGCACTTATGAAGAGTAATTTAATTATTTACCCTTTCCCCAATCGTCATTAGCCAATGAAATCGGCATATTTCTTTTATCTAAATTTTATTTTACAAATGAATAGATTTTCTAACATCAAAGAAGTTAATCACAAACACACTTGGCGTTGAAGATGAAACGAATCTCCAAGGTTTCTTTTTATATGCTCATATATGAAGACGAATTATCTACCGGTTCCTCAGTCGTCATTAGCCAATGAAATCGCAATCATCTTTCACACTCAAAACTAATTTCCATGAAGTTAAATGTATACAATACCAAACTTAAGTTTTTGACAAAATAATCTTATACGACGTGCTGTAAAAACCCAGTGATAAAAAGAGAATACCTTTAATCTGTTATCTCTTCTATCGTCAATTTTTGATAGTTTTTTTTTTTATTTATATCACCTTAATCTTTTAAACTAAGAGCTGCTTAATTAAAAGTAGAGCAAAGAAAGAAATCCCATAGCTAATATTCAACAGGATAAAAAAAATCTGCATTATCAGCGTATTGATCTTGTAACTCGAATAATGCGCTGTGAATTTCTAATATTTCCAGCGAAGGTTTAAGACAATCACACACAGTCTTTATTAAACATCTGCGTAATTCACAAAGTTGTGAAACAATTTAAGTTTAATGTCTGGGCTAGATATAGCCCAGATTTGTTAATTACTACGCTCAACATTATTGCAATAACACATTCCTTTTTAATTTCAAAGTGGTTATTTAAAAACACACGGACCGTTGCAGAAGATATTAATCTCTGAGATTTCTTTTTTTACGTGCACATTTTATTATAATATATAATGCTTGTCCTTTCCTTAATCGTTTTAAGCCAATGAGATTGCCGCCTTTTTTTATCTCCTTTTGCATTTTTATTGAAGTTATATGCAGTATGTATAATTCTGTGTTGAAGGACTTATTGTTTGTGAAAATATATTCTCGTTTTCAGAAAAATATTAAAAATAAATTAAACAATTTTTGCCTCATAGTGCCAAGAAAATGTGCCATATATAGTTTAAAATAATCTTTAAAACAAATATTTTTCATGAAATGATAGCTTTTTTTATATTTAGAGCACTTTAATCTATTAATCTTAAAAGCAGATGAGGATTAAATAAGTTCAAAAAGTAAATATTAGTTTCTTTATTCATTAATTCGAATAATATTTTATAAATTCAGCTTGTACAACCTGATTGACCTGCAGAAAAGTTGAAACTAATGAAGTTCACTTTTAATTTTTGATTTTGTAAGCAAATCTTTTAGGAAATTACTTTCATTTTATCTTTTTCGTAAGCTTGTTGAATCTTTCATAATTTTATGTCTGGGTTGGAATTTAGAATTTTACATGCTTTAAAATTCCTTTCAATTTAGGCGCAAGTTTTGGTTATGATTAAGTTTTCCTGTACTTTGAAAAATAAAATGACTGAATTTTTATATGTGACCAAAACTTTCTAAAAATATCATCAGTTAGAAGTTACTTTATCTTAATTAATGTCATTCGATTAGATTCTTATAATGCAGATGATTTTGACTTAAAAAATTAAAATTCTTGCACTTAAAATTCAAAATTATTATAAATATCTCACTCGATACACAAATTTAAAATTTGAAAATGAGAAGAAAGGGTTTACAACTAGCAGATCTCTGCTAAAACGCCCGACATCAAAAGAGACTCCGCCGTCTTGGTAAACCCACACTATAAAAAAATAATACAAAATAACTTTATCACTTAATCTAATCTTGACTATTGAATTACTTGTATTCTTCATGAAAACATTTTTTGAACGTAAATTATTTACTCCTTGGCTCGAAATACACGTGAATTCCTTCCGTTGGATGAATTGCAATGTTCGGGGACAATTTCACTGGATATGATGTTTTTTCCGACGGTCTGATAGTGTATTGCTGAAATATGTAAATGAGGGCAGCCTTCACCTGCACGTTTCCAAACCTGTTACCTGTAATAATATTGATTGTAGCACACTCTATTCATAATTAAATATAGCGAAAATTACCAACACAAGTTCTGGGGCCATCGCTGAATGGAAGATACGTGCTCGGAACGATTTTCTTTTTATTCTCAGGGCTGAACCTTTCGGGGTCAAATTTATCAGGCTCGGGCCAGTACGTGGGGTCCATATGCAGGGAATAGATCGGAATAGTAACTGGTGTGCCCTTGACGATTACCAGGTCCGAATCCGGCACCTGATAGTTTTCAGTGCACTTTCGCATCATTAGTGCGATCGGTGGGTACTTCCGAAGAATTTCTGCAGCCCCCATTTTGACAATTTAGTTCAAATTGAAAGGTATTTTATTATAACCTAATTACCGCAAAAAACTTTTTCCAAGTAAGGCATCTCATAGAGAGCTTCGTAAAAAACTTTCCCATCATATTTTTCCAACACCTCGTCCATCTCTTGTATTAATTTTTCCTGCACGTGCGGGTGGTTGGCAAGCTCGATAAGGGCAAAACTAATAAGCGTTGACGTCGTTTCAAAACCATCGCCGACGAAACCCATCAGCGACCCGGCAAGCACATCAGGTGTCCATTCTGAATGTTAAGATTTGATAGAAATACTGCAGCAAATTTTTTAAACGAACCGATTTTTTTGTCGCCAACGTCATAAACGTCTGCCGAACCGCTCCGCAATTTGTGTTCTCCGTCGTCATGCTCTTCTTTGATGGCGCCTTTTTCTTTCAGTTCCATCAACGTGTTGATGAAGTCGGGCCGTGAAATGTTCTTCTTTTTGCGCAGCTCCATCATGTCTGCGATCAACGATTTTAAGAAATTGCCGAACTTTTCCGGGACGAATGTCATTTTCAGAAATTGCATAAGCTGTATTTTTTTGTTATATGTAAAACCAAATTTTTTTTATATTAATTAGGTATTATTACCTCAGGTGAGAAGTAAACTATAAGGTTGACTATGACTTTGAATTTTGAAGAGTTCAAAAAGCCTATTCCCATTCGTTTGAATACGCTGTCCTCGTCGTTCAATGCATTGCTCTTGACGCCGAACGCACAGAGGGCGGACACGTCGATTTTAAAACGCGAGGCCAAGGCTTTGGCATCGATGCTGTCGCCATTGTTGTTCTTTGCAATGAATTTCATCAAATCTTCGCAAGTTTCCGTCATCAAGGGAAACATGTGCTTGATTTTTCCAGTGGTAAAGGCGGGGGTTACTCTTGTTCGAACGTACTTCCATTTCCAGCCACTCAAAACAAACAAGTGGTTCGCTATAATATAGATTTTGTTCAAAAGAGAGATAAATTTAAGATGAGAATCAGGCAAGAATTACAGCTTTTAATTTTCATGGTTTGAATTTAAAGGCAAAAAGAGGTTCCTTGAATACTTAAAATTATTTACCAATTACAGGGTCTCGTTTCTCGTCAACCAGAAATGTGTTGTCATGGAAGCTTTTGAAGTCTTTTACCAGAATATTTTTAATCAACTCCGGGTCTCTGATGAGAAGGGATGGTTTTTTCATTTTGTAAAAGCCAATATATCTGTGGACAATTCACAATCCATCTTTTTATTATAATAATTAAGCGAGAGGGCATAATTTAAAATGAAAACTCTAACTCTTTAATAAAATGAAGAAAACGGGCTTGTCTTTTTTCTAAATAAGTGTTTTATATTAAAAAAAAAAAATAATAATAATAATAATAATAATAAACGACTCACGGTATTCGACTGTACTTCATGAGCAAGAAAATAATACAAAAAAACCGCAAAATTGAAAAAACACATCTTATTGAATAATTTTCAAAATCTTAAAACCTACAAAAGTCAAGTGCCAAACCTATTTGTCCTATTTCATGAGCAAACAAGAATAAGCTAGCTAAAGATTGATTGATAGGGAGAGGTGACTTTATAAGATGATTAGCGCGCAGCGTTTGAAAATGACCAAAGAAATGTGTTAAATAAATTTCAAATTAATTACCATTGAAAAAATTAAAATTCTTTGAAATTTTTATCCTTGTCATCTGATTGATGGCCAGTTAATATTTTTTTTTTATTAGATATTAGTTGCTCTCCAATTGTAAATTTTAAACAATATAATTATCTACATCATATGGCTATCCCAGAATATTAATGCTTAAATTAAAAAAAAAAAACTGCTTGTATCTCCAAATACTATCCCACATAGTCAAATGCAGACCAAAATAAAAAAATGGAAATATTCCTACAATTGCTTCAATTTAATTAGAAATCTAAATATTTTAGGGCATTTATCCTTTTTTGACAATGATAGCAAATAAAACATATCATTGGATAAAAAACACTTTGTAAATTTTCTCACCGTGCGTCCGGGTGCTCGTTGTACATGTTTTGAAAGAATAGAGCCACGGATCGTTTGAGTAGAAAAACTTCCGACATGCTGCCAAACAAAAGGGACTTTTGTTTTGTGGTTGGAACGCCACGTTTCTGCCAATAATTGTTGTTTTGCGTGAGCCACCAATATACGGCAGTCAGTACAACAATAGCCACGGCCAAAATGTCCGTAACAATAGACTCAAAAACTAGCCCCATTATTGTATTCAATAAGACCTCTTCATATGATTAATTTGCTCAAAATAATTACAAAAATGTATTACTTTTCAAGTTAAATGTCATTATTGAAACACATGAGAGAAATTCAATCTTCAAGATCTCTTTATATACCCGCACTTGTAAAGAGTTGACGTAATCGCCCTTTCCCAAAATCATCGTGAGCCAATGAAATTGCATTCTTTTTATAGTTCTATGTATGTATATTAAAAAACGTTCACTAAAGATAATGAGAATGTACTTAATTAAACAACAAGTGAAACCAGATGGAATTAAGTGATATTGGCAACAGAATGTTTCCGTTTGTATTATTATTATTGTTTCTTTATTGTATTATGGAATGTAATCACATATAATGTCTCCCGTGCGACCCACCCATTTACAATTTTGTCAAATGAAATATACAGCAGCCACAGCAGGGAAAAAGAAATTAACATATTTACAAGGTTTTTTTGTAATTTACATACTCCTCCTCAGTATAGAACTTGTGAAAACTAACAAACTTTTTTAACAAGCCCACAAACTGAGGGAATCTCAACTCCAATCGAATAGATACAGGCAAATTATTATACAAGCGCGACAAGCAAAGGAGCGGATTTTGCCTCGAAGTAGCACACGTCTGGACCGGCACGTACAACTCAAACTTCTCGCGCGTCTCATAGGCATGCACATCTCGCGTTTTCACAAAATACTGAGGGTATTTACTCACAAATTTACATCACATGATACGTTGTTAAGGTGGTTGGAAGGTGGGTGTATAATTTCCCGGGAAATCGGATTGAACATTTTTTCTCCTAATGAGAATAAATGTATGCGCTTGTCACTGCCGAATGCAACTTTTTACGCTGACAACATTGTCAATTTTTTTTTGTAGATCAAAGGCCGAGGACACTTATATAAATATTACTGAAATTCGAAACAGAGTCTTTTCTGGTCTTTTCTTTGCCAACTTCACCTATTTATATCTCTATTTCACCAATATACATACCAAAGCGGTCCTCTTAATAATGAAAGATAAAAAAAGATGTTAAGGTTGAAGGCCATATTGTTTTGACAAAATAATCTTGTTCTCATTGTAAAAACCCATGATGATGTGCTTCACGGTACCAAGAATAATTATGTGCCTAAAATAGTCCAGTTATCTTTTTCGTTAAATTCATTTTCGATAAGCCAGACTTTGCTTAATGTTTCAAGCAACATCATCTTTTAATTTTAAAATTACAGCAAAATACAAAATTCTTTGCGATTCTATTTTAGAACTATTTAACGCTATTTTATAAAACTTGTGTGAATTTTTTTTCAACCAGATATAAAAATCATCACTTGGATAATCCTGAAAAAAGTGGTTGAAACTGAAAAAAAATCGCTGTAAATTTTTTTTTATTCATTAGCAAGAAAATTACACTTGACTGTATTTTTTATTTTATCTTGATGGCTTTTGAATCAATTCAAATTTACTTTACGTCTGGGCTCCAAATGCACTTGGCGTAAGAAAAGGATTGTATTAATAATATTTTCCTGCTGCGACTTAAAGATACCGAAAACTTTATTCGCGATAAAAAAAATTTTCCCGAAAGTTACCTAGTAGATTGAAGAAATGCACGTTTTTTCAGCGTTATTTTCTGTAAAATGCTCTTATTATCGCCTTTTATCTTCCGTGCATGTGCCTGTTAAATAAAATATTCTTATCATACACATCCATCATGTCTGCAATCATTGCTCTCACGAAGTCACGAAATTTGCAAACTTTGTCGATATGAACTTTGGCTTTCAGCAAGTTTCTGTAAATAATATTTTTATTAAAATTGTAGATTTTTAGGACGCAACAAAAATCAATCCTTTTTTTTTTTTTTTTTTTACTTGAAAGTAAATATTTCCAGAGACCACATAAAAATTGTCACTGTAATTAATATATCTCTTAAAGGTTTGTAGATTCAAGTGTTTGAGAACTGTTTCTGATCTAATATATTATTCAAAATTAAGTTTATTGATGTATTTATATCAAAAGGCAATGTCTCACTCAAATTACGTAACAGAAATTAAACTCATGAAAAAATAATAAATAATCTTCCGCCAATAAAATTGCTATCTACCTTCAATCTTAATTGATAATTTCTTTTCATATAAAATGGCCCCACTGGACCTTGATTTCGCCAAAAAATTAAATTAAATTATAATTAAAAAATTATTCATTATCATCATGATTTTATATTTTTTGATGAAATAAAATCCGCAACCTGTATCATGCAGAAACAATAAATTTGCTCATCTCCACCGAGGAAGCCAGATTTTATTTCATAAAAAAATGATCACCTCGAGTGCCAAAAGGTTCCACAACAACTTCAAGAACCTATATAGATACTTGAATTGAATTGAATTGAATTGTTTTTAATTTTTAAAATAGGGCAAACATCCAGCTAGTAATTAAAGTGCAACTGACTTATTTTTTTTTCTTACGTACAGTTTGGCAAATTCATTCACCTGATAATGGATTTTCCGTTAATCGCGCTTATTTTAGAAAAAAGAACCACATTTTCCACATTCTGTTTATTTTAATTATTTTTTTTCTATTGTGACATAATTTTTTGCTTATAAATAATAAATAAAAATGTTCATGTGACATAATTATCGCAAATCGTTCTGGTGATTTATTTTATTTTATGAATCACGTTCTTGGGATAAACTTGACGTGCAAGCCGTCCTTGGGGTGAGTTCCGAAGTGGGGCGCGAATTTGACAGGGTACCTAGTGATTCCGGCCGGTTCCAACTCGTAGAACTTAATCACGGTTGCTATGGCGGCCTTAACTTGCAGTCGTCCAAATCGGTTTCCTTAAAAAATAATTAAATAAATTGAATCACAAGAGCTATCAAATTTTCGCTTACCTAGACACATTCTCGGCCCCTCGCCGAAGGGTAGGTAAGTGTAGGGTACTATTTTTTTCGTGTTCTTTTCGTTGAACCTCTCGGGGTCAAAGCGCTCTGGGTCGGGCCAGTACTGGGGGTCGTGGTGCAGGGCGTAGACAGGGATGGCCACTGCGGTGCCTTCCTCGATTTTGACGTCGGTGCCGGGAATCGTGTAGTTTTTCGTGCAAATTCGGTTCATCACTCCGATCGGGGGATATTTCCTGACAGATTCTAAAAAGAAAAGAAAAACAAGAAATTTTTTTGCTATTCATTTAAATAAGTACCATTGAAAATTTGGTCCAAGTAAGACATCTCCATCAAAGCGTCGTAGCAGATCTTGTTGTTATGCTTGTTCAAAACAGTTTCGATTTCCTCCTTCAATTTGCGCTGGATTTCTGGGTTGTAGGAAATCTCAAAAATGGCAAAGCTCAGTGCGGTTGACAATGTTTCGAAACTGTCACCGATAAAACCGAGAGTCTGGGCCGTCAACATGTCGTGAGTCCATTCTACATGAACCGTAATTTAAAAAAATCATGATTTATAAAAAAATATAAGGTTTCTACCAGTTTTTCCTTTGTCATGGTCGTAGTTGACGGGGGTGTCATTCTCTCGTTTTTCCTCTTTCTCGCCTGGTTCATACTCGATAAAACCCTTGCTCTTGAGTTGCATCAAGATTTGGATAAAGTCGTTCCTCACGATTTTATTCTTGTCTCGGTATTCCATAGTTTCCTTGACCAGCGATCTAAAGAAGTCGGCCAAGCTGTCGGAGACAAATTTCAGTCCCAGAAATTGCTTGACCTGCGTTAATTTTTATTTGATTTTTCTCGTGGAATTAAACGATATGCAAACCTTGGGCGAGAAATAAATTATCATGAGAGCAATGCTCCTGAGTTTCCCGTTGTTGATCAGGCCGAGGCCCTTTTGTTTGAAGGCGCTGTCTTCGTCGGACAAAGCGTGACTTCTGACACCGAAGGCGCACAGAGCGGCAACGTCCGTTTTGAAGTGGGCGGACATGACTTTTGTCTCAATGCTTTTGTCGCCCTTGGCCAGGGCGCGGTCGACGTAGCTCTTCATGTCCTTGCAGATGTCGATGACCAAGGGGAACATGTTCTTGATTTTGCCGGAAGTGAACGCGGGCGTCAGTTTTGTCCTGATGAATTTCCAGCGTGGTCCGTGTGTTGCCAAAATGTGATAGGCTAAAAGAGATATTTGTTTACTTCGCATTATATTTCAAACTAAATTTTAAATGCAATGCTTTTCATATTTACAATAATCCTTTCAAAAAATGTATAACCATTCAAGGTAAAGGGATTATAATTATATTTAATAATAAACTTTTCAGCAAAGTTAATTATTTTTTTTTATCAAAAGGACTTACCAAGAAGTGGGTCGGTTTTTTCATTGATAAAAAGATCGTTGTCGTGAAAACTGTTAAAGTCTTTTACAAGCACGTGTTTGACCAGTTCAGGATCCCTCAACATCAGTGCCGGTTGGCGCAGTTTGTAGTAGCCGATGAACCTGAATCAAACAAAATATTTGATTTTGTTTTTAAAATTGAAATATTTCCTCACCTTTCACTTTGAGTAGATTTGTACATTTTCTGGAAGTGCGTGCTGAGCGAAGACTTGAGCATGAAGGGTGATTTCAGATGACCCAAGTAAGGGGTGGGATCGAATGGGATTTTGACCCCTTTGTTCTGCCAGTAGTGGAAGGTGCGGGTTGACCACCAGTAAAACAGGGCCGTGGCCCCGACGGCCAACGCCACCAGTTCAACCAGCATTCTGCGCGCTCAATCTCTAAACCACAAAATAATACTCTGCTCTTGCTGTCTTATATACTTGAAGGTTTTTTGTATAATCTATCAAATATCACTCTTAAAAGTGACGTGAAAATTCCCAAGTAAACACTACTTTTGCTGGATTTCGATGTCCCGCGCTTAACAATCACTTCTGTATTAGTAATCACCGTCATATGATTATGAATGAGATTATGATCTAGGCCAAAGAGCAAATTGATCAAAAATTATTGCTTCTGCGTCTCAGAGTTAAAAAAAATTATTTAATTCCTATTTAAAATTTTAAATCACTGAAAATATTTTATAGATGGAGGTGGTTGGAGGAGATAATAATGAAATAAAAAATGGGCTCTGTACTCATTGCTCATTTTTTTTTTTATTAGTTTAATTTTTTTAAACGTTCTACCTCAGTTTCAGTCATAGTATATAATCTATTTCATGAAAACCAATACAAGTCCGTTGATTTTGTTGAATTTAAAATTTGTGATTTGCAAATCATTGCAAATATTCCATTTTTCTTTTAAATTTGTCTTGCTCATGAAATCATGTGATTAAAATTAGGGCCGATTGTTTAAAAATAAATACAGTTTTCATAGAGGACAAAGCCCTCTTATCACTTATCAAAATTATGTTCAGCATTATTATTATTTTTTATTTGTCGAATTATATACATTACATTGTTTACATGCAATTTTTTTTTTTAATAATTACAATTTTGTTTATTTTATTTAATTGGAACCGCTTATACAGCCTTAGTTCAAACAGTGTAATTTTATATCGCAAATTGTAATAAAAAGTGACAGTGGGTCGCTATAAAAAATTTGCGATATGCCAATCTCTTTTGGGAAATTTTTCTTTTTGCGTCAGCAACAGAATACGAGATATCCTCCTTCAGTTGAAGGAGGACTTGTGAACTTACCTCCTTCAATTTGATGTATTATTCGTGAGTTCAGAAGTCCTCCTTCAAATCGAGGAGGTACAGTCCTCCTTCAGATGAAGGAGGTCCAAATTTTTAATCTAATCAGACAGACATGCCAAGAATCGTTAAATCGTCATGTTTATTAAGAGATTTGACGGAATTTCAGATTAAAATCTATTCCAATTAATTAATTCAAGCCAGTTTCCAAAGCTATAAATTTTTTTCATGACAAATCGATCAGTTTTGGATTTTAAATTTATAGAAATCGTTTTATTGTAATGGGTTAAGTGTTATTATATCAAGTATGGTCATTGAAAAAGTACTGGATTTAACTGCAAATTATATACATGATTTTGCAGAACGATTGAAGATAATTATTCTTAATGCAGGTACTCAACAACTGCTACTTAAAATATAATCAATTAATCAATGAGTTTTACTCTTTTTCATTGTCAAGGTTTTTTTTTAACAATGTTATATTTTAATACTTCTTAAATACGATAAAAGAAAAATAATTATAAAATAAAATGAGTCAAATTTCAAATTGTTTCATTTTTATAAAACTTAAAAACACCCAATTTTTGTTTAATTTTAATATACGACTTTTAAAAATGAACTATTTAATAGTTTTATTTTTAATTAAATTTTATATTTTTCATAATTTTCTCTTAAATTTCATAAACTACACAAATTAAAGTAAAATGTTTCAGGATACAAATAAGCAATAATATTAAATTTATAGTTTATATATAAAAAATTCCCCTTTTAAATTATTTATAATTTCCCTCTTCGTTTATATTTTTTGTGAACGGCATTTAATCTCAGGATCAGATTATTAGTAATGATGAAGCTTAGTAATACAATCTGCAAGTACAAAGAATATTATCTCTGACCTCCGTTCTTTGCTCTCTTTAAGACATTGTGTGACATTACCTTGCAATGTGATTGGACATCAAATTAACACGACCAAATTGGGAATTTTGTAGATTAAATCAATGATTTTGTCTTGATAAGGCCGACTAACTGATGTTGCACGAAAATTGAGGCTCCCGTGGCCGCGTGCTATTTTGATAAGATATTTTTCAACAGAGAGCTCATTAATCCATCTAACTGCGAAATGCAACCTGCCGAGCAAGAAGGCAAAGCAGGTTGCATACATTTTAAAGCGATTGTCATTTCAATTTAGATTTATTGCCAAGGTTGAATCATTTATATGCACGAAGTTGGGTGGTCCAGTAATTGCACCTCATTGAGAATAATTTTGTTTTCAAGGATGTAGCAATATTTTTGGTTCAAATTTTATCTGTGAAAAAATATCTTGTGGTTTAAAACATTATGTTCTCACAATCAGAAAAAAACTTCAAAGAAAAAAAATTAAAGATTTAATTCAGATTTATTTGAATACACAGAAATAAAAAATTCTCTCAATCTTCTGCTTTATTTTTTTATTCAAACAATTTATTTTTTATAAATTTGTTTATTAAATAAAAACATTCAAGAGCGCTAAAACTACTCTCAAAAAGCGTTTGTTAAAGCTGATATTTATTGTAAAGATAATTAATTCCTTTTCTCGAAAGAAACGTGCAGCCCATTTTTGGGATGAATCAGGAAGAAGTTGGGGTCCAGCTCAACGGGGTATTCAGTTTGGCCGGTCGGTTTCAGGTTGAAGTTCTTCACAATGGTCACCAGGGCCGCCTTAATCTGCGTCTGGGCAAAACGCATTCCTGAGAAGAAGAAAAATTAAAATCATAATTTGAAATAAATATTTTTATAATTCCAACCAATGCAAATCCTGGGACCTTCGCTGAAGGGCAAAAACGTGTACGGCACGCGGTCCTTCTTGTTCTCCTCGGTAAACCTGTCAGGGTCAAAACGCTCAGGTTCAGGCCAATACTTGGGGTCGTGTTGCAGGGCGTAGACTGGCACTGACACGGTGGTGCCCACTTCGATTTTGAGGTCAGACCCGGGGATTTGGTAGCGCTGGGTGCACAGGCGATTTATGGCACCGGCAGGCGGGTACATCCTCAAAGTTTCTAAATAAGAATAATATTAAAAAAATTAACATGTATGGAACAAATAATTATAATAAACGGTCGTTTTTTGAAAGAAAATTATTTTAAATCTTATTTTTATAATTTATAAATTTTTTAGATTAATTTTCTTAAAAATACCTTCAGGATCAACAATAAAAAATTCAAGAACAAAACGAACTTTAAATAATCATTACCAAACTCGCGTTCCTGAATTACTTACTTGTACAATTAAATTAATTATTCAATTTGTTTTTAAATTTCCCAAGGTTTTACTAACCCGAAATGACCCTGTCTAGGTAAGGCATCTCCTGGATGGCCTCATAGCACAGTTTGCCTCCGTGCTTCTCCAGGACGTCCTCGATCTCCTCCCTCACCCTGTCCTGGACGTCCTGGTGATACGCTATTTCGAAAATGGCGAATCCCAATGCTGTTGATGACGTCTCAAAGCCGTCGCCGAAGAAACCAACAGCCTGAGCCGTCAGCACGTCGTGAGTGAAATCTAAATTCAATTAGAGTTGAAAACTAAAAAATAAAATGCATGTCATTGAATAAAGACCTAATTTTCCACTTTCTTCGTAATTGTCCGGAGCGCCATTCTCTTGTTTGGTGCCGTTCTCCTGCTTCTCCGATTTGTCTGCAGGGTCGGCTTCAAGCTGGCCCTTTTTCTTCAGCTGCATCAGCAGGTGGATGAAGTCCTGTCTGGTGACGTTGTTCTTTTCCCTGTACTCCATGGCATCCTTGACCATTTTCCTGAAGAAGTTGGCCAGTTTGTCGGAAATGAATTTCAGCCCCAGCAAATCACCCAACTAATCTTGCATTGTAATTTTAGTAAGAAAAATTATGAAAAAAAAAAATCATTTGACCTTAGGACAGAAAAGAACGATCATGAGCATCAGACCCCTGACGGGCCCCACGGTGACCAGCTCAAGACCCATTTGTCGGAAAGTGTTGTTTTCATTCTCCAGAGAGTTGCACTTGACTCCAAAGGCGCAGGTCCCAACATTGTCCGTTGTGTAACTGGCGGCCAATCTTTTGGTCTCGAGACCCTCCTTCTTTTCCGCAGCTCGCTGGATGTGTTTCTTCAGTTCGTCACAGACCTCCAGCATCAAAGGGAACATCATTTTCATTTTGCCAGAGGTGAAAGCTGGAGTCAGCCGAGTCCTCAGGTACTTCCATCGGGGTCCGTGGATTGAGAAAATGTTGTAAGCTGCACAGATTATTTTTGTATTAAAAACTACAAAATTTCAACCTTTATTATCAAGATGCTCAAAAATTCAAATGATTGTTCCTAAAATATTTTGTGTTCATTAATAACCAAAGTTTCCGGACAAGTATAGTGATACTCTTTTTTTAAACTTTTGGGTCTCAGATGAAATGCGAAATTTTTTTCATTGTTGATAGTCAATCAGAGATACTTATTTCAACTAAAATAATAAAGAGTAATGCTTTTAATTATTATTTAATTAAATATTTATTTTAAATTTAAAAAAATTGCCAGTTTCAATTGAAGACAATGAAACTAACAAAGGAAAGTGAATTCTATTATTGTATATGGACCTGCTTGCTTTGGATTATTTATAGCTTTGTCTATTTTCCATTGCTATTTTTAGCCCAAAAATATTTGTGTTAAAATAACTTTGTAATTGATGCATATCTCAATTGATAAAAGTAAAAATTTTGAATTTGAAAAAGCAAGTTTTTTCAATTACCGAAGAACTAAAGAGTAGCCTTTTTTTAAAGATTTAAATTATTTTTGTATAAATTTATACCAAGCATCGGGTCGTTGCTTTCGTTAATGTGAATATCATTGTCGTGGAAGCTGTGGAAATCCTTCACCAGGACACTTTTAATCAGCTCGGGATCTCTGATCAACAGGGCAGGATCGCGCAACTTGTAGTAGCCGCCAAATCTGGAAGATAAAATATGACTGTAGAGGTTTTATCTCAAGAGGAGCGCTCACTGCTGACTTCAGTCTCCATGACGAGAGCTATTTTTACCTCTCTCCGTCCAGCTCGTTGTACATTTTTTGGTAGAAGATGCCTAGCTGAGTTGTCAGCGTGAACGTCTCGGCCATGGTTCCGAGAAGGGGAGTCAGTTTTTTCACTGTCGGTACACCCTTGCTCTGCCAGTAATTGTAGTTTTTGGTGGCGTACCAGTAGAAAAGAGCCCAAGCGGCCAGCCCGAAGGCCAGCAGCTCCACAATCAACGAATCAAAAAGAAGCCCCATCTTTTATGCTTTTTGAAAAAGAAAATAAAAAATAATTTTCATATTACTTTTTAACTTCAAAAAAAGATTTTTTCAATTTATTAAAAAAAGGAAATATATGGATTCCTCTGATTTATTTTTAAATATTTTTAATAAAAATCAAACATATATTAATTTAAATTTTATTTTCATATTTTTTTGCTTGTTTGTTATAAGATAAATAGTCACTCCTAAAACCAATCTATTTAAAATATAATAATTATGGCTTTCTTATCTTTAGATAATGAAAGTTTTTTTTACAATACTGTTATCAATAAACGATTTTAAATTGAGAGTATAAAGGCACCTACCTACTTTTGCTGCTAAGCTTTTGGAGGCTCCAGTTTGAATGACGAGGTTGGACGACGTGCCGAGTGCAGACTGTGTTAAATTCAGACCAGCACCAAAATATCACTACTGCGTCTAATAATCCAGGCGGTTGCCAGCCAGCTCCATCACACAAAAAAATTTGCACTCTCACGACGAACTGATAAAAATGACCTTCAGTCTTATTTGGTTTGAACTTCAAAGTCAACCTAATAAAGTGCTATCCAAATCTTTTTCTCATTGTTTTGTTTTATTAAAGTGCCTTATTCACAAGAGGCTTTTTTATCTTATCAATCTAATTCTAAGGTGTATAGAAAATTTAAACTCCCAGCTGCAGTACAATACATTTTATTCTTTGCTACAAGTAAGTACATCAAAGATCAACAGTCTTGCTTAGATACAATTCATAATTATGGATAACATTCCGTAAAACCAAGTATAATAATTTTCCAAAACCCCAAAGGAAAATTAAGCCTACGATATAATCATAATAAATAGGAACAGATTTCTCAAATTTTCTAGATCAAATAAAATTTGGACAAATTCCACGACTAAAAAACTTGATCGCTCTAAAGGGAGAAACAATAAAAAGTGCTCATAAGCAATCACATCGAGTTTTGGTGAATCCAGGTGAGGGCTTGGCGCACCTGCTGCAGCTTCACCCTGCCAAGAAGGCTAGTGATCAGCTGGTACTCGGGCAATGTGCGTCGACCTCGACCTGAATATGTGACGTTGCCCTCGCAAAGGACCTTCGTTGCTAAGGACAAGAGCCACTGCAGCACCTGCAAAACAACAAAAATACATTCATTTTAATATTTGTTTACTTTTAAAAAAAAAATCTAGTTCTCACCTCATTGCTAGAAGGTGCTCTCATTTCTTTTGAATTCAACCACTCGCTCGGGGCCCACAGAATCAACTGGCTGATGGTGGCAGCTAATTCCGGAGAGGGTCTCTGATAATTTGATAAAATTCAATTGCAAAACTTAAAACGGGAATGAAATAATAAATACTTTTGACGGATTCCTAGAGAGAATTGCATAGACGAGAGCCTTTAACGGTGCAGGCATAATTTCAGGCAGCTCGGGCAAATCTTCATCGCTGTAAGTCCTGTTGTAAAGGGTTGCTCCAACACCAGCAAACGGGTTGTCCATGCCAAAGAGTTCGTAAGCCAGGGTGCCAACAGACCAAAGGTCAGATTTGCTGTAGTTGATCGATGTGAAAGGACCAGGACGAGCACAAACCACCTTGAAGTTTAACAAATAAAACATTGTAAACAGTTCAAATTTGAAAAACTTAAATAATCTTAAAGCTTATAAAAAGTGACACTTATTACAAAAATTAATTCTTTTTTAATAACATTAAAAACTTATTAAACACTGAAAATAATGTATAATCCAATCTTCTTAAAATGATTAAATCAAAATAATTTAATATGCAGGACTATTTTGGAAAGAAATTATTATATTTTTAATATCATTTAGTTAAAGATTATGCAAGCCAAGAACAAAAACAGCAATTTTAAATATTGAATTACCTCTGGTGCCATCAACGCTGCATTTCCTCCTCTGTCCACATGGGGAGTAGAGAAGGGCAGGCTGAGACCATGAGACGAATCAGCAAGGCAACACCCAAAATCAGAAACAGCCACCACTGGGCACGCATCATCACCCTCGACTAAGTCCACCAAAACGTTATCACTTTTCAAGTCCCTGAAAGTTTTATTATAATTTTTTTTAGTCAAATAATCATTTAAAGTAACTAGCCTGTGAGCTATGTTGCTCAATTTCATGTGGGCCACAGCCTCCAGCAGTTGGGCAAACAATAATTGAGCAACACGGGGCGAAGGTGGACTTTTCTTTACGAAGTCTCTCAGACTGCATTCGTATCTAAATAAATTCAAAAATAATCAATACTATAAAAATGATTCTCTTTAATAATAAAAGCCAACCGTTTCATTATTAGAAAGAGGCTCATGTTTCGTCCGGAGCCTGCAGGGTTGATTCTGGCAGGCAGTGCGTCAGGGTAGAGGTCCATGGCGCCAGGCATGTTGGGAATGCGGTCGGTGAAGACACGGTACATTTCCACTATGTTCGGGTGTGGCGAGAGGCTGGACATGCGACCGGTCAGAGTGTAATCCAACACCTGCAGCACATCAAAGTCCCTGCTCCAGGCAGGTACAGTTTCTCGGAGCATGGCGTGCAGAATTGCAGAGGCGTTGGATTCAGCGTCGTAGTTGAACATCATTTTCACGGCCAGCGGAAACTCGTAAATCGAAGGGTCGGAGGAGTCATTTGAAGTTGAAGCTTCAGCTCTTTCTGAAAATATAAATATGGATTATATAAATATCAAATAACTCACATCAACTTTATTTCATATTGTATAATTCTAGAGTTATTTAAACAAGTCGGACTTATTTTTATAATATGCGTAATCCTTAGGTAATTTAGGATTTTTATATAAAATTACCATTTCGCCATCTGGCAGGGTAGACAACCGCACTGCAGCCTTTTGCCAAAGGTTCAGGTCCAAACTCTAGATTTTCCAAACCAATTTCGGGCACGTCCTCTGTAAAAAGTTGGTTCTTCCTCAAACTCTGGCTGCGGTTAACAGCATCCTGTTCAAAATTAATTAGTAAATTAGTGAAATTAATTTTTATTTCAAATAAAATTACCCGTATTTCCCAACAGACCGCCTCCAACTGGTCGTCTTTGGAAATTATCCCCGTGCCGGAGGCCAGACTGACCCCGACGAGGGCAAAGAAAGGTCTGGAATCGCCGTAGAGCAGTTGTCGGGTGACCTTGCGACGCAGGTCGGCGGCCACAGTGTGCGTGACCCTGCTGAGGACGGCGTCGACCACAACCCTGCGTGCATTCTGGGTCACCTGTTGCACGAAGGTCGCAGGTCTGGACGGTGCTGGCGGCCCAGACTCGGCCGCTCGGGTGAACGAGCTAATCTTGCTCTTGTGGATGTGTCGGACGAGCTGTCGACCATTTTTGAACAGCCGAACGGCTGCTAGCCGAATCGACATCTCGCTCTACTCGAACCTTGTTTCGTCACAATCTTTCGGACACTTGCATCACACAATGCCAAGTGCACTCAAAGCGTAGAAAGTCTGGTCTCGGACGTACGAAAACAAGTTTGACTTCTCAAACTCAAAATGCAGGCGAACGTGATGCAATAACCGGTACTTTTGCAAAAGGGGGCGCGGCTCTTAATTTTTGAGAGTTTTATTCAATTTTATTTATGTTAGTAAGAATTTTTCAGCCTATTTAGTCTGATTAAAATATTCTTATAATTATTATCTTATTTATGAATCACACTTTCTACTCAATAATCGAAGCTGAAGCAATAAATTAGCATGTTCCGAAATTTCGCAGCAGAATTGTTAAATAAACCGGTTTAACGTTTGGAATGTAGATTTCTTTAAATTTATTCATATCCTCAAGGTTTTTATTTTTCTTACATTTTTACGTAAAAAAAAATATTCTTGAATCTAATATTTCAATAACTGATGGAAAAAATGTCACAAATATTTTTCTTTTTTAACCGGTTTTTTTTTTTTATTTTTTTTTTTTTTTATTTTGTATTAAACGCTTTTGCGTACAACTAGGGTGCAATGCAAACACCCTTCTCAACATGAAATCCTGCGGCCCCCGGCCGACTTTCAACCCTTCACTCGCAGTCCCAGCATGAGAAATCACTCAGGTTCCCCCGAGAAAAATCCGCCTGGAGTGGGAATCGAACCCACAATCTCCGGGATGGAGGGCAAGAGCATACTCCACTTAGCCACTGGAGACGACCGGTTTATATATTACAATTAAACCGGCACTTTGTAAGTCACGTGACTTCAAAACACTGAATGGCGCCAAAAATCAGCAGGAGCAGGTCTACTTTTCAGCAGCGGATGCATTTGGCTTTTTAGCAGGTTTTTTGAGAAAATGTCGCGTGTCACTTTGGAGGAAAAGCGAGTTCGGATGCTCGAAATCTTCCACGAGTCCTTAGACGTGTTCGAGTTGAAGCAGCTTGAGACAATCGCCCCCAAACAAAAAGGAATCGTCGCCAGTTCTGTCAAGACTGTGCTGCAGGTAAAAATTTCAATGTTGAATTTCTAAAAAAAAAGTAAATGTTATGGTTTTTAATTTATCCTCATTTTAACGAATACTTACATTGTTTACAATAAAAATTTATTTCAAAAATAAAACAGCAAATTATCAAGGATCTTGAATAAACTTCGGAATGTAATAATTAATAATGACGTTTCATATCAGGTTTTGGTGGACGACGGCCTGATTGAGACAGACAAAGACGGCGGTCTGGTGTACTTCTGGTCCTTCCCGAGCAACGTCATCAGCAATTTGCAGAAGAGGGCCAACCAGAAAGAAAAGAGGCTGGCCGAGTTGAAAACCAAAGTTGAATCTTTGAAGGAGAAAAAGCGTGCGTTGAGTCAAAGCGAAGAAGGCGCCGCAGCCCGACAGTCCAAGCTGGACACTCTGAAGGCGCTCCGAGGTAAAGTGGCCGAACTGGAGCCGGAGGTGCAAAAGCTGCAGGAAAACGACCCTGAGACCTGCGAAATTTACAAGGCGGCCGCGAATCGGTGGGCGGACAATGTGTACGCAACCACGTCGTGGCTCAGGGACAAATTTGGCCTTGAACAGGCTGCTGTCAAGAAGCAGTTTGGCATTCCCGAGGAACTCGAGTACTTTGAGTGAACTGCAAACTGTTTGATTTTTAAATTGTAAATAAATCTAATGAAATTTGTACAGAATAAAAATTAAATTGTAACAAGTTTGGTTCCAACAAGTAAAACAATTAAAAATTATCGAATTGGATTATTTTAAATTTCAGTGAAATATTGTGTCTGAATAAAATAGGAGAATATGTCCATTTTATTACTTTTTCTAATTGAATTAAAATTATAAGAATTTGGAGTTTCTATTGAATTTCACATTGAAAGATGTTTTGTATTAAATTAGTACCATTTAACATTTTTTCTTTTATAATAGCCAGTGATAAATTTGATTAAAATATATTGCTAGACTTAACTTATATATTGCCAAAACTTAGAAGCCAAATGATAGTGGCCGGTGCACGAGCATTTAAATTAGAGTTGCCCTTTATACTTAGTAAATTGGCCTACATTTTGGAATTATTTCTGCAAATTTAAATCATTTTTTGTTTTAGATTTGGACAACAATAGGCATAATATGTGAGCAAAGATTATTCTTAAAAAATCCAAGCTAAAAAAATATACATTTACGGAACTAATTGTAAGAACTATTTATCACCACAAAACAAGGCTAATTTTGAATCTAATCATATGCACTGCATTCTTTTTTTACTTATTTGACTTAATTTTATAATTATAAATCTCTTGCAATAGTCTGATAAATTTTTCCAGCTGAAAATTATTGACACGTGAGTTTAAATTATAGGCACTCTCCCTTCTCTCTGATTTACGACCGTGTGTAAATGTGCACATTTTGATACAGCGAAGGGCGAAAAATGGGTCACAACTCGCAGGGCAGCTTTTTTCGCCACGCGCGCTTATATATTTTTACCATGGCAACGTGCAGACTGTTGGGTGCGCTGCAGAAAACGACCGCAGCGTGCGTCCGTGTTGGCGTGAAATGGGGCCACGGCGGCCCAGCGAGCGCTGAGGCCCCTCGAGCATGTCGGCCAGGAGCAGGGGGCCGCGGCCTGAGGACCTGCGCCGCCAAAAAGAGGCCACCGAGGCGGCCGCCAGGGCCCAGTCGGCCTGCATCCTTAGAAGAAGCCGCCTCCGGGCCGCTGCCCGCCTCCAGCGCCGCCTCCGACAGGTGCTGCTTGCCCTAACTGATAAACTCACAGGTAAAATTTGCATAAATATGTAACACGAAAAATGATTCATTTGTGCGAATTAAAGAAATGTTTTGGAAAAATTTAATCCTTTCTATTAATGTCTTTAAAATTTGTTAAATATGTAGGGATTTTTTATTAATATTTTTAAAATTGTGTTCAAAATTAAGTAAAATATTTTTTCTATTGAAATAACGTCCCTTACAAATATGTGAATCCTCCAACCAAACCTTACCCAAATTATTGTAAAAATAATCTCACATTTCTTTTTTTTATTAAGTATTTAATTACACAACAAAATTATCCACAAAGTGTCACTTTAAATTTGCCTCAACAATATAATTTTATTTATTTTTATATTTTGTGTGTGTCGATCTTATTGTTAAGTCTCTACACCCTTATTAACTAAGTTGGTTTTTAAATAATACTTCTAGCTGTTGTTTTTATTTATTTATTTTTTTTTTATTAATAATTTTGCCAAATTTCGTTTTGCTTGAAAAGAACCATGTAACCATAGTGTTACATTTTGGCAATCTATTTGAATTCGGGTATTTTTTTGTGTAAAGTTGTAGCTTTTTTAACTTTTTATTATTAATTATTCTTTATTTGATTATTCAAATCATTACTTTATAATAGTAAGATCAATTATTGGAAATTTTAATCACCTCTGTTGAAAAGACTTTTACTCGATCGTCCTTAATTATGTAGGTTTACATTTTGCCCTAGTTTTTAATTCTCTTGATAATATTTTTTTTAATATATATATTTTTTAATAATTTGTCATGTAATACCCTAAACATTCATCCAAATAGTCATCATTCATTTCGCTGTATAAATAGCAAGGTTTATTTTGAGAGCTAGAGCTATTTTAATATTCAACACAAACATTAAGCATTCTTTTGTCTATCTTTTTTCAGACGTCTGAATATCAAACGGCACTTTCTTGCTTTATTTGTGTCTCTTTAGTTCATTTGCATGAGAGACAGAACCAAGTGAATAATAAGTTCAAAGTTGGCCCTTTTGCGCTTGATAAAAGTTTGACGCGCGCCAGCTGGTGCAAATGTGGTGTGCAACAACCGCATTATGCTTTGTGCGGGGTCGCTCCGGCCCTTTCTCGCCGTGCGTGTCGAGAAAGCGCTCTTCGCATAAATGCAGCGCCCGCCGACCCCGCGAAACCGCATTCATCCTTCCCTCTCGCCCATAAATTTTCCGACAATTGCCCTCTGCTCGCTGCGGCGCTGACAAAAAGTTGATTAATTTCGTTTCGTGCCCGACACGCCGCGGCTGACGACGAAACCAAAAGGGAATCAGAGTGGATTTGAAACACATCGCGGCCCCCTTAATATGCTCGAGTGATCTACATTATCCCTCCAAAAGTTACTTGAAAAGGATGTCGTGCCGCAGAGATCGATGTAATTTGAATCCAAACGTGAAGCATTTTGCGTTGTTTCGTGATGGAATTTTTCTGCTTTTATTACTTTTTTTCGTGGCAGCACAAAAAGTGCTTCAAAAAGTCGGAAAAATATTAAATATGCATGCATATTTTTATTTTCATATTGGTAGACTACCCAGGGAATAAGAACAAAGGAATGAGGAAAAATCACTTTTTTAATTTATTGGCTTTTTCCTGAGAATTGCATTATATTCATATATATTTATTTTATAAAACGAGCAGAAATTCTAAAGCGTATTTTATTATTTTTGCAGAGTTGGAGGCGAAACGAATGGAAAAAGTTTTGCTTTCTTTGTCAAGCGAAATCGAGGAGTTCCATCTTCAGAACCGCGAATCACCGCAGGAAAGCGTCGCTCAATGTGTGGACAAACCACTTCAGCTCAGGGCCACTTCACTCTCCGCCGATCTATCAAAAAGCCTTCTTGTCACAAACTATCTGGGACACCAAGTGGCGGTGGCCGCCGTCAAATCGTTAGCAACTTCCAGGTAAACAAAGATTTATAATTCTAAAATATATAATTTAATTTTACAAACTGAGATCAAAGGGAACTAAAATATCAAAATTTGGGTTCAAAATTGAATTCAAAAACATTAAATTGCAGGTGCTGAGCCAAAAAAATTCTTTAGAATCAGAGTTTACTAGAAATTCGTGGGATGTTTGAAAAAAATAAATTAATCCAAATTTGGTTCAAATATCCGCTACAAATGCAAGATAATTTTTAATTATAAACTAATGTAAAAAAACAAATTTAATTCAAAGAAAAATATAATAACAATTATTATAATTATGTGTATTAAATGATCTTATTTTATTATGGTTTAAAATATTTTCCAGCTAATTTTTTGTTTGTGAAACTAAATTCTTCCTCTCCATTTCCGTTTAATAAAAGTTTAAAACATTCTAGGCCAGAATGCGTGGAGCACCTTTCCGTGGGCGTCTGTCTATTGGCGAAGGCGCTGGGCACAATGGAGGCTGGCACCATCGACATTGAAGGTCGCGGCCTCCTGCTGTACCGCAACACGTGCCCCTTCATGCTGGTGCCCGCCCGCAAGCTCACCCTGACACGCCTTCTGCAACTGGCCGCCTGTCAGCGGGCCGAGGCGGCCAGCAGGGCGCTCGTGGCCGCCGTGCTCTCGTCGGCGCCCGCGTCTGTCCGCGTACCCGATTCCGAGGAGGACGTCGTCAGCTCGAGACCCATTCCTCACGTGGTCACCGCCGACGGTGTCGGAACTAGAACTCTTTACGTCAGGTAACAGTAGAAATGTGAAAATGTGGAATTTATTAAAAATATTTAACAATTTACAAATATAACAAATATTTAATTAAAATAGATTTTTGTTCCTATTTTCATTGCTTAAAGGATTGTGAAAAAAATACGGGAATTGTAAACACAACACGAGATATTTAAAATAATATAAATTTACTGTATTTTTAGTCCAATGACCTCTGACCCTGCTCTGACCTTAAAAAGTGTGAAAGACCGAAGGACCCAATAATTATATTTTGTATTGCATGTTAACAACATTTGCATTCAAATTATTTAATTTTTGAGCATTTTTGTGTATGAATTATTATTTAATATAGTTTTATTAAAAAAATTTTGATTGTTATTTGCAAGGAGCAGCAGTTTCAGCCTGCGCAGTGTGAAGAACTCGAGTTTCGAAGTTGCCCAGGAACTCGTGCAGTACGCGACCCCTCCCGTGACCTTGGAGAACGACCTTTGCCCGCTCGCCAACCTTCTGAACGATTGTGTCGCCTCCGAACAACGACTGCCCGCTGCCCTCCTCATCGCCGCCAAAACTCATGCACCCTCTCTGGCTGGACCTTCGGGGGACAAACTACTTGCTCAGAAAGACTCGAGGTCAAAGGTCATGACCTACTATCGACAACTATTATGGGGTGACGCCGCCACACTCGCTGACCACGTCCTCCTTTGGTGGCTCAAGCCACTAGGCAAGTAGAGATAATGTTGCTTGATATTTAACAAGAATTTTATAACAATAATTAAATTATATTTTGATAATTGTTGAATTAAAAACTTAATTACTTAATAAAATATATAGCCACAGAAGGAGCACATAATATGCAAAGGGTTTCTGGAAGAATTTTTGAAAAAGATATATATATAATTTTATAAATTTATAGACTATGTGTTTAATTAATATTAAAATAAGAATATTATTACTGATTATTACCAACCACAACTTTTTTGTTTTCATAACAAATTAAAATAATGTAATTTAAATTTGGTAAATATTTTTAATTCTATTTTTAAAATTCCTTAAAGAATAAAAATAATAATGAATTAAATTTGTTTTAAATAAAATTAATAATGTTTACTATTTTTAAAAATTATTCTTCATTTATCTTTTGACAAGAGTGCATTTTTAAAAATATTTCAACATTTCCTCAGGCCAATTGTGGTCAGGTCGAAGTCTGCTGAGTTGGTTGCGGAAGGAGGCGCGCGAGATGCGTTCTGGGGAGCCGCTGTCCTGCATGAACGCCCTTTGCGAGGCCCTGGCGACGCACCAGGCGGTCGTCTCATGGGACGCCCTTTTCCGCAGAGCCACCGTCGCTCCCTCGGGCCACACTTTTGCTTCCTTACTCCACTCTCTTGTAAACTCCACACTAATTTTTTTAACTATATTTATTTATTTTATTAATTTTCCAATAAAAAAGGTGATTCAAGTGCAGCTGGCCGAGGTCGGACCTGCCGTCGAGCAGATTCCCCTTCTGCACAGAATGGACCACTCGCTGCACACGTATCGACTTTGGGTGCTTTCGGCGGCTCGGAACCACATCGGCAACTGGCACGTTGACCGATTCGTCGACACCAGTCAGTCCGACGTGGCAGACGCGCTCAACGACCTCGAAAGATTATCGGTCAGTAAAATTTCTGAAAGTTGTCCGATCCTCTAATTTTATTTTACCTTAATTGCAGATCTCAGACATATACAATGAACCTCCTTTGGAATGTGTACACGAAACTGTTTGCGCCAAAATGCGATGTAAACTTGTGTCTGAAGTAACCATCAATCTTGGGAAGCTTCAGGTACTTTTCTTTTTTCTATCATCTTGAAAATTTAATATAAAACACGCAACTTAAAATTAGCGAACACCCGAAGAGTGCATCCAAGTGATGGCCGCTGTTTGCCGAACCGTCAGTCTCGCGAATCTCCACATGTGCTTCCCGCCGCGACGGTATTGGCGTCAGGACGGTGCTCTGCCGCAGTTCGCAAGTGCCTACGTTGAGCAATATTTAGGTTTGTTTTTTGAAAAAAAAATTAAATCCATGCTAAAATTTGGTTAAAAAAATTATTCTATAACTCATAAAAAATGAAAGCAAAGCGCAACAAATTATAGCGCTCAATTCTTTAGAATAAGCCAAACATAAAGACCTTTTTCCCCAATAAAATTCATAATTTTAAATTGCTTACAACAATAAATCATTTGTAATAAAAAATTAGCTTTTTCACTGAAGCGTGTAATTGCGTATAATTAAAATGATCAGAAGGTTTGTTTGTGTCTAAACCTGACAATGAATAGAACAATTATTTCCTACTTTTCTTACAAAAAAAACACTTTTTGATATATTTTTTTTCTAAATTTCTATTAATGCAAATTTAAAAATAAATATATTATAATTTCCAGACAAAATGCTGCGGCCAGTGCTATTGGCTACGAGTTCCCTGCCGACAGAGCTGCAGCAGAAAATCAGTGGCATGACCCTGAGGATCATGTGCGAAGCCTGGCTGGACCACATTTACCAGTTGAAGATCCAGTTCAGGTTTGATAATTCTAAAAAATTCTTATTTTATTAAAATAAATGTGACGTTTTTTTATGAAAATAAAGCGAGCGAGGTGCATTGCAACTTCTGGCCGACTTCGGGGCGGTGACGACCTGGTTGCAGGAAAGGGCCGCCCTGACCCCTCCGGTGGAGAAGCACCTGGTGCGCAGCGAGGTGTTGCGAAGGTGCGAAGGGGTCGGTCGCCTTTTGCTGCGGCAACCTGGCGAGTCGCTCGACCTGGCCACGTCCAAGCAGCTGCCCGACCCCAACAAGTGCCCTTCGGTGGGCACCCCTGTCAAGGACAGCATGCCCGCTGAGATGTACGTGCCGAACCAGGAGAAGTGGCTGCAGCTCAGGGCGCGCCGCAAAGGGGCGGCCACCCTCTTGTGCTGCAGATGAGATTTGGCTCGTCGTCACGTCGACGCATTTTCAAAGAGGAAAAAACCCTAAAACTCAAAAGCAGGCCTTCAATAACTCAATAATGAATTAATTATATACAAAATGGTAAATTATTTAATTAAACTTTTCTGAACGGAATAGATAAATGAGTCAAAATAATCTCATTTTTTTTTGCACCTAATGGGTTCTGCTGCTTTTGTATGTTATAACATTTTTGTAGGCATAAGTAAAAAAATTAATAATTTTATATTTTTTATGTGTCTTTGATTTTATATTTGACAGATAAAATAATGAATTGTGAGACACATATATAGATAGTGCTGGACGAAAATTTAATTGTTTGGTTTTCCCACGATAATGAAATATAAATTTTAAATTGCCTTAACGTCTGAATTGAGACGGCGCATTATAATACTAGACAATCTCCCCGTTATTAAGATGCACTTTAACGTTTAAAGTTTGCTACGGTATTACCGATTTTACGGTAAATTTGTCCCTATGCGAGAGAAACGTTAACTTTTGAACGTACGTATTTCGCATTGCATAAAAGAGGAGTTGTTAAATTATGTGTATTATAAATGTATTGTAAACAAATACCGCACAAATAACTCGAACATAAGGAGAAAAAATTTTTTGGCCAGGCGTGTTTAAAGAAACCTGGACATATCAAGCTCAAGTTTAGTCGAGCCGCAAAAGAGAGAGATGGATGCGCAAAAACCGCAAGAGAGATTTACTCCCTTTGCTGTCGGTGCTCGAAACTTCTTTAATATTTCTGGCGAGTGCGTTTTTTATATTGTGTACAAGGCCAGAATAAAAATAGGAGACTAGGAGGCGCACAATTTGAAGGAATCGATCAATGTTATACACATACCTCTGCAATATCAATCAACCCAAAATAGTTTTAAAATGAATTGAAAGACACGTTTGCAAATTGGAAAAAGGTGAACAAATGTTTTTACCTGAACGTCGACGCAGAAAAAATGTTAAAATAAAATAAAACCCGGTTGTTATTCTTCAAGAAATAGTGAACCCACTTTGTTTTATTTGACCTTTTCTCGACTCTCTTCATTTAACATTTATTATCTCTGCATTTTATTTTCCACGAGCTGCATTCAAGCGAGTATTTTATATATAGTCCTTTTTCCTGTGGCCTTTGTTTTTGTCCCCAGTTTTACTGCTCGTCGTCATTTCCCATTTTACTGCATTATGCGCTCTCGAGCAGATAAAACGAGTGGCGGCAGCGCATTGTTTCTCAGATGGAGCGCAAAACAATGCACTTTATAAGGCCCCGGTCGTAAAGCAAAGGCAGAGGTGCGAAAACCCAGCCTTAATTAAATTTCGTCAAATAATCCCTGACTGCCAAATCCAGCAGCTTCATTAAACATGCGACGCTCCGATGTTTTGGACTGTGAGAGATTATAATCGTTCTAACGCTTTATAAAAATCTAATTACAATATTTTGACTTCTATTCTGAAATATAAATTTCTGAATTAAAAAATAGGGGTGAGATTTTATATGAAACAATGAATTTCAAAATTTAAATCAAATAAAATCAGTTTTAAGTTCTTAAAGTTCAAATTTAAGTTGACAGTATTTCAGATCAAAAACTGCGGTTCCACTCCAAAATTTATTAATTATCAATTTTTTATTTTTACACACGCAAGAATGCTTTTTTTGAAGAGAGAAGAATGAAAATTGAACTAAAAAATTGATTATTAAATTGAATCTTACAATTTGATTTAGATTTTCGATCCAACTAACATGAAATTAACCCTGATTGTGAACTGTTCTTTTTGAATTTTATAATAAAAATAATTTCATTTTTCTTTATTTTCCTTTAACTTCAACAATTTAGAGGAAAATATTATTTTGGACTCCAAAATTCACTGTATTTAATTTGAATTAATCCACGTTGTTCTCCAATTTTCTAGGCTTTCATTTTTAGGTTTACCAGTTTTCCTCAGCGTCGATAGCGTTTCAGGAACGGAAAAAGCCCAGATTTACGACCGGCGTGTGCCTTGCTGTCGAGCTGAAATTCCGCTCTTCTAGCCCGTGAAATATGAACTGCAAAGAGTAAAAATATGCTCTCGGAAAAGGCGGGCGACCTTCCTTTCTCTCATATAATACGAGAACGAACGCACTTATTAGGAAATACAGCCCCGAAATCTCATTTGTGCTGACGACGGCAGCTGCAGCAAAATACGTCTCTCGCTTGTTATTTATAGTGCCCTGTTGTGACGAACGGGGTCTTTAAGTCTCAATTTGAGTAAGTGCAGATTAATTATGGATATATACATTACCAGCTGAAGATTTGAAATTAAATGGGAAGCTAATAAATAATGTAAAAGGTGGAATTAATTATTCATATATAAATATGTGAAATTTAAAATGCTGACAATGCAAGAATTGAGCGTTTTTTTAAAGACTTTTATTTTTCTTGAGAATATCCGATACGTTTATAAATATATCTTGTTTTTATATATTTTCCAGCATTTCAAAAATAAAAATAGCTAAAAATTTGCATATTATAAAATAAATATTGATTTATATTCACCAGAAAAAAAATACAAGTAAAATCTGTAAAATAAGTCTTTTATTAAAAATTACATAATTTTATTTTAATATTTTAATAAAAAACATTTTTTTTTATTTGTTGTACATTTTAATTAATGTACTTTAAGTATTATATTGCATATCTCTGTATTTCATATGACGTTGATTATTTTATCATCAGCTCTGTGTGCTGGAAAAGCCTCAAGCAAAGAGGCTTTTTAATCAAAATTTCAGTCGGATCCGTAGCAACAAAGCCGGGGCTAGGAAAAATATCCCAACAGAGTGCAACCGCGGAAAGAGCCGCCACCGTTTCATGGTCTGCGCTTTCGCAACATCTGCGGCGGCGGCTGCGCTGCAAAATAATGCAAATAAAATCCCTACGTATTAAACTCCCCAGCACCTGGTGGAAAATGATGATGATAATAATAATAAACTACTCGGGCCTCGCCAAATAGAAATGTTGTGCACAAAATTTATAATAATATTAAAAGCCAGCGCCACAAGAACAGCAGCTGGAATTTGAATAATAATAATAATTGTGCGCGACGAGAAGTAAAAGCACTTCTCGTTCGTGTGTGGCTTGGAATTCGCTCAATCCGCTCAAATGTGTGCAATGCAAATACCTCATTTCGAGCGTTTTCCACTGGTATTACATTTTCAGCAGATAGACTTTTTGGAAGTATTTATAGAATTGTAAGATTAGATTGAATTCACTTGTCATTTTCATTTTTATAAAAATTCCAAACAATAAATTGTCAATTGCGTGAAATTAAAATCAAGGTGATTGTTTTAATATCTATTTATCAATTAAATTTTTCGATCCTCAAAAATTGGTTTATGGTGTTAAAAAGCAACATTTTTCGCATTGGTTAAATGTTTAATGAAAATAAAATTATGCAAAATCTTTAAAAAAAAAGTATTTAAATTAATTCAATGCTTTCTTGGAAAAAATTACACATGAGATTTGTTTAAGTTTGAAGTTAATGGTCCTTAATCAATTTGTCTCTTCATCAATTTGATTTGCTATCTTTAAAAAATGCTAAAAATTGAAAACATTTACTTTAGAGCTTTTTTATAATGAAATAAAACATATCAAATTCTAACGAAAAAACAAGAAATTGTATGATTTTGTCTGCAGAATCATGTGCAAAGATGAATCTATCATGTATCCATTTTCTTTATGAGAGCTTTGCACAAAACCTTTCATGTATACATTACAGAAGAAAATATTCTGACATAATAAATTGTAAAACATAATCCACATAATCACTTCATGAAATTTCATTTGGTGCCATAAGAAGAATTATAAATCAATATTTTAAATATCAATAAAATCGTTCCAGATTGCTCAACTCAATTAAAATAAAATGTTAGAAAGCTCCAATTCCGCAGCTAATCAGTGAATATCGCGCTCTTTTTTTGTAGCGAAAACGGAGGGATGATTAGGGGGCGGAGTCAAAATTGTCAGTGATTGTTTACAAGTGATGGAGGTGACATCGCTGTGCACGTGTGGGTTCCAAAATCGGACTAAAAACGAGTGTTTTTTCCGCGAAAACCCCTCAGCGACACCCCATCCTGATGTTCCAACCCTCGGTCTGCATTTTTCATCACCAGTCCAGCCGCGGCCGCAGGTGAGTCCAAATTTTTAAGCCCTAAATTTCTGCAATAAAATTTACAAAATCTAGCCTCAGCCTCGCCGCCGGAAAGTCGAATTGCGACCAAAAATTTCTCGTGTGCAAAGATTTTAAAAATAGAATATTAAAACAATTATATCAAAGGTTGCGTTCAACTTACAATTCGCAATCATGGTTTTGGTGACATTCCTGGAATTCCGGCGCCGCACGGCAGAACGCAGCGAGCGAGCGAGTCGGTGCATGTGGCGTGCGCGAGAGTTTCGGGCTGTGTGTCCTCAGGGGTAGGGGGAGGGGCCGTTTGGGGCGGCAAGGGCGTCAGTCGGTGTTGATCCTCCGGAACGGCAGCAAACCAGCCAAGATGCAGCCCTCGGCGCCCGCACTTGTCGCTATTCTCGCCTTCTTCGTCGGTGAGTACTGAAAAAAAATTGAGAAATAATTTTAAAATTAAAATTTGAAAAAAAAATATTTTCAAGGCCGAATGCAAAATTTTCTTTTGTTCCACGGATAAAATTGAAATGAAACCATATTAATTAAAAAAATATATAATTTGTTACAATTTTTATAAAAAATTAATTAATTATAAAATTATTTATAACATTGGTATTTTTTTGGATAAAATAAATATATAGAATCAATTGGCTATATAAAATTTGAATTTTTATGTAAGTCCCTTTCTCTCTGACGGGGAAATGTCCCGGGGCGTTTTCCGACCTCGCATAAACAACCAATTTTACGACCGTTTGATAAATTTACGAGGTTTGCTGGAGCCGAAGCGGCCATTATGGTCGAAAACGTATTTCGCTTGTCGACACATTTCGCCAGTAAAATATCGTGTACACAGCCTCCGAGTACATAAATTTATTTTTGTCATGAATGGCTCATTTTTTTTTTTTTATTCCTAAGCTTTTTTTAAACTTTTGATTAACCCCTTCTCAATGCACTTGCATGCTTCGGCGGCTGCCCTATCTAAATCTAAACAAATCGGGGCCACCGAGAGAGATGCTTTGAAAGAGGCTCCTTTTCATCGCCGCAAACATGCCCTTGCGCCGTTTTCAATTATATATTCCAAGAGTGGTGAGAATGAAATTCGCGGCCAGTATAAGGAAGCACTGGTGTCGCCACGCTGATAAATTAATTCCGCGCGGCACCATTAATTTAATTAATTGGCCAGACGCGAACAAGAAGAAGCAGCGGGGAGAATTTCTTGCTTGCCACTCTGGCTCCTTCTCGGCCAAGATATTATTCGGAATAAATTAATGGTCCTTCGAAACGCTGAGCCCTGTACATTTGTCTTATTTCCGAGCTCACCTTCTTATTGTTTGACATATCCGGAATTTTTTTAACAAAGGAATAAGAAAAATGTTATAAGATTTTTGTGGAATACCAATTTAATTCTTATCGAGGCCAAAATAAACTTTTATTATTATTTAATTTACTCTCTTAAAAGTAAAAAAAAGTTAAAAATTTATACCTAAATATTATACTTTTCTCAGGAGAAAATCAATATTGTACTTTGAAAATTTTCTTCAAATAACGAAACTCCTTGCTGAATCGTCTTCACAACACTGGTGGTTAAAAGTTAACATTGATTTATATTTTTCTAATAATTGCCAAAATTGCTTCCACAGCTTTGAAGACTTGATTTGACTGATGCCAATTAGTAGTTCCTAGTTCTTAATTAAAAACCAAGAATTGTATAGGATTTTGAAAAAATTTTGCAAAAAATTGTTTTAAAAGTACAAATATATTTTATACTCTTTATGCCAATCAGTGTTTTTTTTCAATTAGAAAGTTTTATCCGTTTAATTTTACATATTATTTTTCTAATCGAATCAGTCAGAAGATGCGATGGAATGGAAACTGAAAGATTGGCATTGAAAAGATAAAGATCCGAGAGATTAATTTTGAACTGTTCCTTCAAGGAAAAATTAGAAATTAATCACATTTTTTCTGAGTCTTAAAGTAAGGAATTAATCTATCTGATCTCTAGTCCTGCAAATAGATCTGGTGTTTTTCATTATTTTTTGAAAATTTTTTCCATTTCCAGGAGAAGCTTTTTAATTTTTTTATATTAGCTGTGGATAAAATTTATCTTGTAATTTTAATTTATCCTGATGAATTTTCTCCATTCCAAAGTAGATTTTTTAGAAGATTTCCACAGCTTTTTATGTTCACCCATTTTATTTTTGGTCATATCTACTTCAAAAATTTATACGTGTCCGTTGTAAAAAGGCAATTTTAGGAACGGAGTAAAAATAGGCATAATATATTTGACTGCCTTGATCGCTTTTTTACATCATTGCAGTTGCGTGTCGATGTGAAGAGAGCTGTGATCGAATCGCTTAAGGTCGATTGGAATGCTTAGGCAGAAAAGCACCTAAATTTTTTTACTCTCTGAATACAAAACAAGTGGAACAAAAGAACTTGACCTGCTTCTTTTCTATTTTCCCTGCACTATAAGCTGCCTTTCGCAAAAATGTAAAAAAAAAATAACACGCGTACGTCTCTCGGTAAAAATTGAAAAGAGAGTTGACGCAGATTTTCATTTTTAATTTTTTGCACTCTCGGAGGTGTCGACGAGAGTAACAAAAACGAGCAACTTTCGCAACGTGACAAGAGGTACTGTTGAGATTTATACATTATGCGACGCTCCGGGTGCAGGAGACGCTTTTCGAGAGCTGAATTGCTTTACAAAATACTGCAAATTGGTGGCGGCGAAAGAGAGAGAAAGGGACAGTAAAAACAAAACAGCTTTTGTTTCCGAGGAGTAGCAGAGCGCGAAAAAGAAACTCTGGTTTTTATTTTGACTCTATGTTTTTTTTGCGATGTGAAGCGAAATTTGAGTTGGAAAAGGTCATGATTATGTATTTTATTTTTCATGGAAAAAAATTATAAAGAAGAGATGCGACTCTACTTTGAGCAGGACTATAATTGTGAGAACGAATACAATCGATTTTTTGCCTGCATTAAATTAGGTCACTTGAAATTCATATTTAATCGTAAAATTAGCGAGATTTAATAAAATTTAGATTTATTTTAAAAATATTTTGTTTCATGCAATTGAAATGAAATAATTTATTTAAAAATCATAAAAATATTACTTCTTACACAAATTTTTGGGTATTTCTACCACTTTTTATAATTTTTTTTTTCAGTTATTGAAAGTAATAAAAGCAGTAATTTAATTTGCAATCAATTTTGTTTCAAAAAAGTCATTTTTTTAAATAAAGATCATCAGGGAGTATAAAATATCATCTTTCCTCAACAAAATTTTTTGTATCTTGATCGTTGGCTTTATTAAAAAAAAAAAAAAAATCAAAGTTTCCTAGTCCTAATTTAAGGTCTCGCTATTGAATTAATCAAATCAAGTCTTTACAACAATGGTGGCGATAATAAATACCAATTATTTTCCAATAATTGCCAAGAATGGCTGACTTGTTTATCTCATGCGACTTATAACAAATCACGAAATCACATAAGATTAAGTGTAATATTTAAATTTTTTGAAGTATATTTCAAATTGATTTTTGGCTGGCTCTTTAAATCTTAAAAACTAAATCAAAATTTTGAAAAAAATCCATGAAATTTATTATTTGAATAAATTATGTATTAAAGTATTAACTTTAAATAAATTTGTTGAGAAAGCAAAGTTTTACTTCTGGGAAACCGCATTCCATTTCTAAATCTTCTCAGCAAGTTGCTTGCAACATTATTCATGGTTTGAGCTCATCAAATAGTCTCGCGGATCAAAAATACCCTTCCTCCTGAACAAACACGACTCGGCGGAAAATCGCGGCGTGGCAGATTATTTACTCTGTGTGCGGGATGGAAGCAAAATATTTGCTCGCAGGAGGATCGCGTCTCTCTCTGTTGCTGCAACAATAAAACCGAGCAACAATGTGCCGCCCTTTATAGAGCCGGTGTTTGTGTTTGGCATTGTTGTGTGCGGTTGTTTTGGTCGGCCGTTGTTTGCCCAACTAACAAGCGCGCCCCTCTCGTAATTGGCCTAAGCGTTTTGCTTTCGACGGCCGGTGAAATTTCCCGCAAAAGCAAACTTCGTGTTTTGATTTTTTCTTAATATTATTTTGACGAAATTTTGGACAGTGCCAAAGTCAATTGAAAATGCCAAGAGCATCCTTTTTTAGAAGCTATTTATTTTCAAGAGAGGGACCTTATTTGATTACGACACATGTAAAATTAAGTTAGCAGAACGAGAAACTCAATTTGGTGACAACGACCCGAACAGAATTCCAAAACCAACCCCCCAAGCTGCTGGCACGTGATGAAAAGAAAACGTTTGCTTTTTGACTGACGAAACAAGAGCGAATTGAAAGTCTAGTTTCAAAAAGATTGTTAAATTTAGAATTAGGTTTCAAAAAGAGAATCTCATTTTTGAAAATTATATTTATTTACATTAAAATTTTTTAATCCATTCACTATTCATAACAGAACAAATGGTTGTTTTCTCATTGATATCCATGTTTGTAACTAAAAAATAAGGGTGAAGTTTTTCTTTAACCCATAAAATTCTAAGAACTGATATACTCTGATTTCATCTTTCGATACACCAACTTATGCACATTTAAAAGAAGGCGATTCCTTTTTAAATTCTGAATGTTTTCAATAGTTTAGAAACTTTTTGATCACCTATCAAAATATGCCTAGTTCAGATTTCTTTAAATATCCTGAATTATTGAAAATTTCAATTCATTATTTAGATAAAAAAAATTCACATTTCACATAAAGTTTTGGTAAAAGTTGATATTTTTTCTAGCACCCTGAAATCTGAAATTTTAAAAGTTTAAAATGATTCCCGGAAAATCGAAAATTTCTTTGTAATTTGCAATAGTTTTGTGTGAAAAGAATAGAAAACAAGTTTTATTTTAAATATGGTTCAAACAAACTTTCATTAAAACTGACAATGAGAGCTCTTTTTTATCATAATAAGATTAATTGAACGTGTTTTCCTACTAAAATTTATTACCCACCTCTCTTTTTTTGAACACGTTTGCAAATCTGCGGCGCGGAATTTCGCAGGTGGGCCACGTTTGTTTGCGTGCCACATTAATTAAAAAGCCAACGCTGGCTGCGCAAATTCGCGTTTTTTTTTGCAACGTTTGCGACAAAAAGTTTGGTGCAACGCTCGGCTGCTTAATCCTGAGGGCCGATCAAAAATTTCTGCATTTTGCATTTTTCTTTTCAATTTCACTCTCGGATAGGAAATTTCATTTTTGGGTTTTGAGAAGAATCGATCTACTTTTAAAATTTTAGTTTCAAAAGTTTTAGTACAAAAGAGGAACACTTATTTTGTACGGCGCGAGATATTAATTAATTAACCCTGATTAATTAAAACTTTGCGTCGGATCGAAAAGTTTGCTCTCGGCACAAAGATGGAGAAATCAGACGG